CAAATATGGAAATGGGCTGAGGTACAGCAACTACAACTGATTCCACCACTACTTTAAATAAAATTCATTATTCAAGTGATAAATTAAGGATTGAACTGAGAGAGGAAAATAATCTGCAGCCCTTTCAGCTTTTTTTCAGACCCCTTTTGAGTCTCTTTTACAAAATCAGACCAAATAGAGAAGCCATGGAAATCAAAATCATTCAGGAAATTAGACATATCCCCCAATATAGGAATAAATGAAAAATAAAAAATTGAAAAGGAGAGTGTTAGAATGGAGGGACTGCAACTCCATCACCCTGAATGACTTACGGATCATGGAAAACAAACTGAAGAGAAGGAGCCACGTTGAAAAGCAACTTTATACCCAATCTTTCATTTCCAGTGAGGACTATACCAATGAGATGGTCTCCTGGGCTGTAGTAGCTCTGTGGTTGTTTTCCATCCTGGTGCTCCAAACTCAGCGGGCATTTCATTCTCAGCTTCCCAGAGACTGGATGGGACAAAAGCAGCATCAGAGGCAGAAGCAGGAGGTCCATAATTCATGGGGTGAATCAATGAATCCTTTTCCTGTTTCTAAAGAAGAATTAGAAGAATCAAAGGACTCTCACAAGGTGGAATATGAACCAGTTGCTTTTTCTCAACACAGAAAAACACTCACCTTCCCCTGGAAAGGCGAGAGATGTCCTTCAAGAGCACAGACCCTGCCTGTCCCAAAACTCCATATTTCTCTGCCCAAAGTCTCCCCTGGAGGATTCAGCCAAAGAGCAGAGCTGAAACTTTTGTCATAATTCTCCCTCTCAGGAGGGATCCCTGGATAATTCAAGTAGTTCTTGCAGTCAAAGATTGTTGGGAAATTCTCTGGAGGGAAATGAAAGGGAAATAATCCCCATGTGACTCATAATAACAGGGGCAGAGATGGAATTAAATCGGTCATCTAGAATTGAGAGATTTGGGGTCTCCATGCTTCAAATTGACTTTGGGGAAAAGAAGTTTTCCACTCTGGGCCAAAAAGCCTTTGGAATCTGATCTTTCCTCCAATTCTGTACCGGACAGCCTCTCTCCTGCCCAGCTGCCCCGTCTGCCTCCAACGTCCCACCTCACAAAAGAAATCCCAAAGGAAGTGAAGGGAATGGAGTCCATAAATCCCAAAGGAAATGAAGGGAATGGAGTCCATAAATCCCAAAGGAAATGAAGGGAATGGAGTCCATAAATCCCAAAGGAAAATGAAGGGAATGGAGTCCATAAATCCCAAAGGAAATGAAGGGAATGGAGTCCATAAATCCCAAAGGAAATGAAGGGAATGGAGTCCATAAATCCCAAAGGAAATGAAGGGAATGGAGTCCATAAATCCCAAAGGAAATGAAGGGAATGGAGTCTGTTCTAAGTGTTGGAAGAAATATCCTTCTGGGTTCAGCTCCAAGTGGGGAAAAAGACACTGGGGACATGGAGACTGCTTGGAAAGACGGTTTAATGGTGGACAGGATCACATGGCTTGAGTTCCTGAACAGAAAAGGGGCGAGATACAACGAGTCCCTGGGTTTTATGCTCTCTCTGGCTTTGAACTTCCTGGCCCCCCAAAAGAGTATCCTGATTGGTTGTCAGACTCCCAAGAGGTGGGGGTCTTAGCTAGCCTTGCTGGCTGATGTAATCTTCCCAGGTGCCATGTGGTGAGTTTCTGTCCTAGATGGGTCCTATTGTGTTGCAGATGATGGTCCATTAACAAAGATGGAGTTTCTGCCTCTGGCCCATTGACACAGGGTGGGGGCAGGAAGATGGGCACTGCTTCGTCTTTAAAACATGCTTCTCCATTTCTCATCCAGGGAAACATAATATTCTGCCTTTTTAATATTTCTTAAAATATTTCATTTCTCGAGGAAAGGGGTAGGTGCTAACTTCTTACATAAGAAAGGAGTGGACTAGAGGATCCAGGATAGAGAAGAGAGGGAGGGGAGAGGGTGGATTGAGAGGAGCTTCTGAGGACTGTGTTGCACACAAGAGAGAGGTGGGGTCCTCCCCCTCCCCCTCTGTTGAGAGGGGGCTGTTCTGTTTTAACATAGATGGTCTCTTTGACCCTCTTTCCAACCAGGGGTCTCCTCTGTCCAGAGGGTGGACTTTGCCCTCTCCGAAGACAGCAACAGGGTCCTTTCCCCAGTTCCAAGGAGGTTCCCCCCCATTTGCCCTCTGATTCAGGGGACCCTGAGGGTGCAGATAAACCCCCAGGTGGCCTCAAGGCCTCTCAGAGAGCCCACGGCTGACCTTCACAATGCTAACCACCAAACGGCTGCAAGGAGGAGAAATCCTTCCATTCCCCACCATTCAGTCAGAACCGAAGAAGCTTCTTGGATGAGAAGCAAAATGTTTTCAAGGGAAAAAACCCAAGAAATTCCAGCTCTCTTTTGAAAAGCACCTTTGGGATGTGCGCTGAAGATGCCCCAAAGAGGGATGGTGCTTTTGGAGTCCGTTCCGTCGCTGAACAAGGAGAAGGGATGAGCCTTTCTTTTAGGCTGCACCTCAGGTCTTGTGCTGGAGGATCCCTTTGCAAAGAGCAGGTGAGCCTGTCAGGCCTGCTTGGGAGGAAGGAAGTTTCCGCCATGGGGGAAGGGTGTTATTTGATGGCCGTGTCATTGGGCACAGGTGGGGTGGAACCAAGGTTTGGAGGGTCGCTTCTCGGAAAGCCCCACAGAAAATAACAGTTGGAAGGGACCTTGGAGGTCTTCTAGTCCAACCCCCTGCTTAGGCAGGACCCCCTGGATTCCCCACTGCTGAGGGCCACTAAACTGTTCACCTTCCCTCCTGAGCTGAAAGGGGGGGATTCCAAGGGAGGGAGGGGCCAAGGGTTGAGTAGAGGGAGAAGTGTTGTTTGGCCTCTAGGTTACCTGGATACCTGGATTCTGTTGGAATTCTTTTCCGTTGATGGGTGGGGCCATGCAGGCTAAAGAAGGTTCAGTGGATCAAAGACTCACTTGAAAGAGAGACAGAGCCAGAGAGAGAGTCAGAGAACCAGAGAGAGTGATAGAAAGAGGGAGAGAGCAAGAAAGCAAGAGAAAGAGAAATATAGAGACTGAGACTGAGACTGAGACTGAGACAGAGACAGAGACAGAGACCGAAACTGAAACTGAAACTGAAACTGAGACAGACTGAGACTGAGACCAAGAGGTGAGCAGGACTTGGTTTCTGGTCTGAGGTGTGGTTTTTTCCCTTGCTTGGGAGTTTGACCTTGGGATGGTTAGTCTTGGAGGGGAACCACCAACCATTAAAACCAGAGATTGACTCTTCTTCCTCCATCCCTTTTCTCTTCCAGAAATGGACCCAAACGAGCTGCTGCGGCCATCCCTTGACAGACCCCAGAACGTCCTTGGAGACCCCTGGAAAGTGACCTTGTTTGTCCTTGGGGTCTATGCATTGGTTGGCCTCTGCGTTTTCTTCCACCAGTGCAGGTAAGTTGCTCCTGATCAGGGGAGTGGCATCTCCACAACCTGGGGAGCCTTATGGCAATGGAAGCCCCTCAAAATGTTGGTGGGACTAACAGGAGAAAGGATAGAGTCCCTCAGGGCTGGAAGGAACCTCAGAGGTCTTCTAGTCCAACCCCCTAATGGTTTTCTGATCTTTTCTAGAAAACCTCCAGTAATGGAGCCCCCATTAAGAATAAGCCTTATTATCATTGCTAAAGAAACAATTTACCAGTCAGTTATATTTTATTCTTTTTTTCTTCTCCAATCCCCAGAAAAAGGTGTCTGCAAGTGTCACTAGAGCAACGAAGTGAAGATGTGGAGGCCGCCATCATCATGGTGAAGCCCTACATACCGGAACCCATCAACCCCAAAATCACCATCATTGATGAACGAAGAAGGATGTCAGATGTTCTACCTTGCTCGACAATGTGATGGTTGGTAAGCGTTTGAACTAATTTGGTTATCAGGTTTTTCCCCGTTATGATGATATTATTGTTATTTAATTCTTGGATGGATCCCATTCAAGAGGCGGAAAAACCCAGGTGACTGCAGTCAGTGGACAACTTGGAGGCGGCAAGAAGTGAGTGGACCAAGGACTTGTCCACAAGAAGAGTCCTAGCTGAAGGGAGAGGATTTGGGGTCTCTTGAGGTCACCTGGTGTCCTGGGTTGCTTTGCATTTCCTGCTTTGGGTTTTTGGGTGGGGATGGCTGGCCTTGGAAGCTAAAAAGGAAGAAGAGTGGGAGCCTGGTACTTTTAAATACTAATTAGGTTGCTAAGTTTTATTTATTTATTGCTTCTTGCTTATTTATTATTTTATTATTAAAATATTAAATTGGTGCTTGTTTTGCCCCATGATGAATAACTGCCATCAGTGAAATCCCAAAACCATTGGAGCCCCATTTGGACACCCATGGCATTGACAACCTCACCATCGGTCAATTGCCAAAGGCCGCTTTCCTTGGAAGAGCTGACATCCAGTCTGGCTGACAGTGTGAAGAACCACAATCCCCCCTGTGAGGCAGGACCTTGACGTGGTTGTGGGGCTTGTGTGCTCAGAGGAAGATGAGGGCTACACCTGAGGTTCAACCATACTGGACAGGACTCATGAGAGGAATCGGACAAAGAATGCCTCTCCCATAAACAATAGGGAAAAACACACATGACAGAAACCCAGGTGGGCTCTCCAGTTGCCCAGGTCAGGAAGGACCGTGCCAGGGGTTGAAATTCCTGGACATCTGGTGGAAAATGACCTGCAGGACTCAGGACTGCTGGCTGAGCATCCAGGGGTGGCAGCTGCTGAACCACTGGAAGGAAAGTGGTTTTCCGACTCCCCCCAAGATGGCAGCCAGACTCAGCAGGGAGTTTTTCCCTTACTCCTGGTTTCCTCACCTGAACTGGTTCTTTTCTTCCCTTTTTTCTTTTTATGCACTTTTTAATCTAGTTTTATTTAGCTTTGGGGGGCTTGTTTGTCATTTTTTTTTCATTTTTTGGAGGTTTTGAATGAAATAAAAAAAATGATTTAAAAAAAAAAGAAATGATATGAGAAAAAGTACAAATGAAATCTTAATGAAAGATTCACATTGTAGCTGCCATTCGTTTGTTCTTATATAAAATAGGAGAGCTTGTTAAGTCCTCCTGCTAAAAATTATATATTTTTCTACTGGATTTTACTTATGCACTCTATTAGGAATTCATAGATATTGTTCTAAAAACTGGGTGGTATTTTTAAAACAACATCAAAGTAGCTTTGTCTGAGAGTTGATATAAAGGTTGCATCCTGAAAAAATCCTATTTCTTCAACTATCCCGCCTGTATTAATGACAATATAGACGAATAGATGGAGAAGATGCTGCACAGGGAATAATCAGGTAAGGGGGGAGGGGAGCCCCCAGGTGCATAATTGGCAGAGAAAGAACCTCAGAAAGGACCCTCCCTCACTTTTCAGGCCTCCAAAAGCGTTGGTGGGAGATTTGTACTTTCAGACATGCAAGATTCTCTTATGTGCCCTTCAAATAAAGTAGAGTTACATCATGTTTCCCATCTGATATACCTGGGAGAAGATGTGGGGGGGGAGGTTTGCTACCTAGTGTGCCAGGTGACTCTGGCCAGAGCCAGATCTGGGAGGTCAGATGTGGCTGCTGCAGACTTTTGAGGTGCTTCTGCTTGTTTTCTCTCATAGTCCGACTTTCTCAGTTGGCTATAATGGCTTTTCTCCACATGGTAATTGTGGTCCATCTCAGCCAGTTCATTCTGTAGACTCTGGAGCTGCTTCTTAACCTCTGGCAGAAGGTTCCTCACCTCTTTGAGGTCTTTCTCAGAGTCAGCTTTCTCTTCATTGAGATGGACAGCTGGGTAGTGACCTCATGCAGTTCTTTGTGGAGTTCTTGAATGTATTTCACCAAAGATTTCTTCTCTAGCTCTAACTGATGGCATGATCTTCTGCAGGTTTTCTGCAGGTCTTCTGTTGTGGTCTTAAGTTGATCCACTTTCTCCTGGAGACAGCTGTGCTGATCTTTAATCTATTGATTTTCTTTCTGGAATTTCTGGGACTGAAAGTCAAAGGAGTCTCTCAGTTCATCAACTTGGAGGTTGGGACCATCAGTGGTCACTGAGAGATCTCCCAAGGATATTGACCATTTCTTCCTTGTTGCTCACCTGTTTGAAAAATGGAGAGACACAGTCACATCCTCTCTCCGTTCAGGGCCAATTTTGCTAACCTGCCTTTTCCACTCTGGTTTTTTCCTACGGTTTTGGAGTCCATCATCTTCTGCTAGAATGAGATGCAAGAGGAGTGAAGACCCAATGGACAATCTGCAGAGGAGTCTCCTGCCAAAGGATCCTTTAGATATAATCTACCCAGATCGGTTCTCAGCTACAAAGCACCAGATTCAAAATATCATATTTGAGGGCACATCAAGTGAAAACCAGCTCTCTGGAGACGTTCCTAATGCTGGGAAAGGTGGAAGGGAAGAGAAGGAGAGGACAATTTGGGATAAGGTTAGTGGATTTGATTACTGTGTGGATGGGTGAACTTTAGGGAGACCTGAAAATCCAGACTGGGGACAGGTCATCCATCTACCTCTTTGGCCACTCAGAGTCCACACAATTTCAATGCTGTGAATCAATGCAGACGAAGCTCCCTGGAGAAGTCAGTAATGCTGACATGGGTGAAGGAAAGAAAAGAAGGGAAGGATCACTAGTAAGCAGCTATAGTGGGGATGGGGGAAGGTTGGGAGACCCGCAGGACCAGGTTGGGGCAGATCTACATGGAGAAAATCATCTATGGGCTGCTAGGCATCAACATTCAACTTGATGACATAGAATTAATCCATCAATCAGTCAATCAATCAATCAGGCAGGCAGTTGACTTACAAGGTCCCTTTCAGCTGTAGGCTTCTATTGACTGCTTCCTTTTCATTGTCATCTTAACCTACAAATAGGGAACAGATGAGGGTTAATACAATCAAATGACAATAGCCTAAAGCAGTCATTAAATTACACGACAACAACTTTGTGTAAAAACCACAGTCTTGGCCCCTTTAACACATGGATGGTCTTCAACTCCCAGAATTCTGCATGCTGGCTGGTTGGAGAATTCTGGAAGTTGAAGTCTCCCCCCCCCCATACCTTAAAGGGGTCTAGTTCAAGAAACGCCAACAGAATCCCTCAATACTGATCTCTCTTCAAACTCTCCTGACTTCCCATTTGATTCCGAGTCCAACTCAAGGCATGTCGTTGCTCAAAACCCTCCAAAGGAGTCGGTATCGGTTCTCCATCAATTTGGCTGTCTTTGTATTGCTATGATTTCTGATAACAGGAAAAGGTGATGACCATTGGAATTAAGTCAACCCCCCCTAAGTACTTACGAGTCCCATATCTCAGCCACGAAAGCCAGATGGGTGACCTGGAGCCAGTCCCTCTCTCAGCCTTCACAAGGTTGGTCTTGTGGGAATGAAGGAATCTTAGATAGGTTCACTGCCTTGAGCTATTTAGAGAAATCATAAAGGCGGTATAAAGACCTAAGTAATAAAAAATGAAAATAAATGAATACTTCAGTTGCCAAGCCAAGTGTGTTTGGGAAATAACTACTATCTGGCCAACGGAATCACAGTTTAGGTTAATTTCCCCAAATCATTAAGCAGGTCAACCTTTCGCTTTGGGGTCACAATCTCCATCCAACTGGGACAGCCTGAAGCCAATTTTTGGGCCTTAAACCTTGCAGATTTTTCCTAGTGTACTTCACCGCCAGCCAGCCAGCCAGCCCCAGCCCCTTTCTGGAGACAAGGACCTTCGAGATGGTGGATGAGGAGTTTGGTGACAGGTATGGAGGCTGCAGACACGGCAGGTATCAGCACGTCTGTCGTGTTTGGTTGAACCCCATTTCACTCATCTCTCCCCCCCTTAATTCTGCCTTAAAGGGGAGGGTCTCTCCCTCCTGAGGAGCCCAGGCGAGGGAGGCCCTGCGATGCCCCCAGTGCTGCCATCCAATCCAGCCACTTTCCAGGGATGCTGAGCAGAGCCTCCATGATGTGGTCCAGACTCCCCAAGGATGCTGGAGAGGTTGCCATGGTGAGCTCCAGCCAATGAGCTCAGGAGGAGCCTCTGACGTCACAAGACAAGGCCCTGATTGGCCTGGACCTGAGATTTGAATAATAACCCCCAACTGCCTGCCTTCACCTGGGGGCGGGGCTTATCCATGGATGAACCGACTCTGAAGGGGCTTCAAGCCCCGAATTCCCTTCAGCCACAGCGGCTCCTTCTGAGGGGGGAACCGTTGGTCGCCTGGAGAGGTCGGGGGAGCCCCAGATTCTGCCCCTTCTCTGGGGATGGAGCCCAGATTGAAATGTCGCCCTTTGGATCTGGAATGAAAGCTCCAGAGAGTCCAGGTTTTCCTCTCCAGGCCCAGATGATGAAGGGGAGCTGAGAGGGAAACACCACAAAAGATTAAATATTATTCGTATCCAAAAGGCCTTGTGAAAATGTACCTAAAGGAACACAGGGGTCTTTGCCAGCTTTAGGTGTCCTCCTCACTGCCTGCAGAGGCCAAGTATGGCTTAAGGGCCAGAGTATAGGCTGCCCCCTACAGGCAGTGAGAGGGACCACTATATCATGGAAGGACCCGGTGGAGGAAGGACCCTGAGTGCTGACTGGAATTCTTGGAGTTGAAGTCCACACCTCTTCAGGTTGCTAAGGCTGAGAAAGACGCTCTAGTAAACCCTTCACTGGGCAGTTGGACAGATGACCTCTGAGGTCTCTTTCGACTCCATTTGTCCATTATTCTAACTCCTCCCTCTTTACGGAGGGCAAAAGAATCCTCTCCAAAAAGGGACTTGGGCAACAAAATGGAGGATGTGGGGTCTTTTCCAGCTTTAGCTGTCTCTCTCACTGCCTGTGGAGGCCAGGCGTGGCTTAAAGGCAAGAGTATAGACTGCCCCCTACAGGCAGTGAGAGGGACAGCTAAAGCGCAGCCTCCTCCATTTTGTGGCGGGAACCTCTAGTAGAAAAAGGGAAAGGAGGAAACTGGATGTAGCTAGAATTCTCTTCGTGGCTTTTTTCATCCCTTTTCAGACTCTGTTCTGTGTGTGGAACTTAATCTCTTCTTTTGGCTCCTTGAATAAAGTCCATCTTGGTTTAAGCCCCGGAGTTTCCTCAGGGCCTCCCTGTCTCCCCCTCAGGCCGGCTGAGCCCCTGAGTCCCAAGGCCAGAGCTTCTCCCCTCAGATCCCCTCCTGGCTCCCCAGAATTAGAATATTATGAATTACCCCCATTGAAGCAAATAGAGCTGCTGTTTTCAGATGCATAAAAGGCGTTTGACAACGTGAATTGGCAATTTATGATAAAACAGTTGAAAATGATGGATTTTGGAGACAGATTCATAAATAGGATCCAAACTATATAGAGAGACCAAGCGGCAAAGGTGAAATGACAAAGAAAATAGAAATCAGAAAAGGAACAAGACAAAGATCCCCTTTATCTCCGTTATTATTTATATTGACATTAGAGGTTTTAAATAGAAAAGGCAGACAGGAAAAGGAAATAAAAGGAATGAGAATCAAAAAAAGAAGAATATAAACTACAAGCATTTGCGGATGATTTGGTGTTTATCATGGAAGCTCCAATAGAGACAGCGCCAAAACTATTAGAGCAAATAGAAGAATATGGGAAAGTAGCAGGACTGAAAATCAACAAAGATAAGACAAAAATATTAGTTAAAAATATGAGAGAAAATCAAAAAAAGGAGATGATGGAGAAACTGGATATCCAAATTGTGAAGAAAGTGAAATATTTGGGCATCCATCTGACATCAAGATATGCAACGCTCAAGGAAGACAATTATTATAAACTGAAAAAACAAATGGAAACAGACCTGAAGAAATGGAGAAACTTGCAATTACCACTAATGGGTAGAATAGCATTAATAAAAATGAATGTATTACCAAAAATATTATTTTTATTTCAAACTATACCAATAAAACTGACTAAACTTTTAAAACCAGCTTTAGAATAAAATCCAAATGGGCGACTTTGAGACAATCATTAGGAGATTGTGAGTTCTAGTTCTGCCTTAGGCATGAAAGCCAGCTGGGTGAGTTTGAGCCAAGGTCTAGGAGGCTCTGAGTTCTAATCCTCCCTTAGGCATGAAAACTTTCTGGGGGACTTTCAGGCAATCACCAGGAGAACTTTGAGTTCCAGTCCTGCCTTAGTCCTTTTTGATTGGGGGTGTGAATATTGGAAATATTTTCTCAGATACCAGAATTGGGGATTCCTAGAGTGTGAGATGGCCCAGTGTCCAATATTGTGTGGTGTGATGGAGGAAAGTGAAATTGTGGGAAAAAACCAGTTCCATGTAGGGAAAAGCCATAAGTCTCTCTGCCTTCTGCTTGTGGGAGAACCAGAGGGATCTGTGTGGTCACTGTGAATCTAAGACTGATCTTGGTCTGATCCATCAGAGCTTTTCTTATTATCTTTAAAATGGAATTTTCAAAAGGATTCCATTCACAATTAGGAGCCATTCTGAGACCTAAATAGATTCCCAATTGAAGAGCAATCTGTGTGGTTGGAGAGCAGAACAGCTTCCATGGGTGCCTCTTCCTAGAAACCAGGAAGTCCCCCCCCCCCGCCATTCACCCCCTTCTTGGACCTGGATGAATATTATTCAGCATTGAAGGTTTGTGACCTGGTCAGTAATGCAGGATCCCTTCAACCTCCTCCTGGGCAGAGTCTCCAGGTCCCCTTTCTCTGGGCATCTTCTCCAGCCCTTCACAGACAAGACAAGCTTGGAAGACGAGCAGAGAAAATGCTTTAGGTAGAAATTGTAGAGTGGAAAATTAAAGGCTCTGAAAACTGCTCTATTATTTCTGTGGTTGATGAAAGAAAAAAAATACAATGGAAATTTCTTTATACACTTTATTTTTTATTTACTTCATTTATTTATTATTATTTTGGTGTGAAATACATACCAAAATAAAAACAATCCTAAACTGCAATCCCAGACAGCTGTTCTGCTGATCACTTTCTGCAAAGGAGGTTTTTATGAGAAAATCAAGAAAGAATTATATAAGAGTGATGAAGATTTGCCTCCCCAGCTGAGAGCCAGTCAAACATGGCATTTCACATCATTCCAGCATTTTCACGGAGGTGATCAGGCAACCAAGCTGGTGCTTGGTTCCCACAGCTTCCTCCTGACCTCTTCTCCTACTCATTCTCTCTCACAAACAGACTTTTAGCTGCTGTCAGTAGGAACAAGTGCTCACATTTTTTATAAGGTGTCATATTTAGTAGCTGTTGCTGAACAGCAAATTTCTCTGAATGACTTTCAAAGAGTTCTCTTTAGTAAAATTTATTGAGCGGAAAAGAAAGGGAGCTACAATAATTCCAATCGTTCAACATTCCCATTTTGAAACAGATATTTTTTTCTTTTCCTGCATACGATCTAAATGGAAATAATTAATATCTCCTTTCTAATAAAAGAACTGTTAACAATTCTTCCAATATCATAATGGTGTAATATATCATGTTTTTACATTTATTCTGCCTGTAAGATGCTCCTTTGTGTTGAGGTCTGGCCTCAGAAGGATAATGTAGCACTTGGGGATGAAGATGCAGCCCAGCAGACCAGCACTGGAGGCCAGGATGGAGAAGACCTGCACAGCCACCATGGATTTCCCTTTGGTGCTCAGGTAGGTGGGCACAAAAGTCACCCAGACACTGCAGAAGATCAGCATGCTGAAGGTGATCAGCTTGGCTTCGTTGAAGGCCCCAGGCAGATTCCTGGCCAGGAAAGCCACCGTGAAGCAGATGGCAGCCAGGAAGCCCATGTAGCTGAGGGTGACGTAGAACATGACAACGGCCCCTTCATTGCATTGCAGGATGATCTCTCCAGGCTGGGAGTGGAGGTCAGAGTCAGGGAAGGGGGCAGAAACTCCCAGCCAGATGGAGCAGATGATAATTTGGACAGCAGAAGAAGAAAGGATGATGGAGTTGGCCAAGCTCTTCCCCAACCATCTCTTCGCTCGGTTTCCTGGTTTTGTGGCCAGGAAGGCCAGCACCACCGTGATGGTTTTGGCCAAGAGAGAAGAAACGGCAACTGAGAAGATGATGCTAAAAACCATTTGTCGGAGAAGGCAGGTGGCTTTCCTTGGTTGACCAATGAAGAGAAGAGGAGACAAGAAGCAAAACAGGAGGGAGACCAGGAGGATGTAGGAGAGGTCCCGGTTGTTGGCTTTGACAATGGGAGTTTCTCGGTATTTCATGAAGATAATTAAAACAAGGCCTGAGTTTAGGAAGAAGAGTAGGGCAAAAGAGACCAGAATGATGCCCAGAAGTTCTTCATAAGACAGGAAGGTTATAACTTTGGGGATACATTGGACTCTGGCCTCATTTGGGTATTTATCATCTGGACACTTGGTACATTTTTTTGTATCTGAGAAAACAAAAAGGCTACTTTCCTTAATATTTTGTTCTTTTATCTTACAAGAAATGCCTTCTTTGGATAACAGCTGATAGCAATGGCATTTTCCAAGAAGTATTTATTAAAGATTTCTTTAAAGGGTATAAGAAGGATTTTTTTAAAAAATGTAGCCAGATATAGTAAATTGAGCGAAATTCTACGGTGTTAATTATTTCCAGTGTAATGTGTAGAAACTTCATAGGAACCTATACTATTAGAGGTTAATAATGAATCATATAATCTTTTTAGGCAAACATCCTGAGTCCTGCCTCATGGCAGTTAATATCCTGGACTTGGAGGATACCTTCAGTATCTTGTAATCTGGAAGCAACCTGGAATTAAGGAGAAACTTCCTATCAGTGAGAGCAATTAATCAGTGGAACAGCTGGCCTCCAGAAGTTGTGGGTGCTTCAACATTGGAGGTTTTTAAGAAGAGACTGGACAGTCACTTGTCTGAAATGGTATAGGGCAGTGATGGCTAACCTTTTCCGGACAGTGTGCCCAAAGTGTGTGCATGCGTGAATGTGCGTGTGTGTGCCTGAACCCCCAAAATGCAATGCGCACATGGCCCCTATGTGTGCACGCCGTGCATGGTGTGTGCCCCAGCGCATAGCGTGTGCCCCCCATCCCTGCGCACGCCCCACCCCCCGCGCATGCGCTGCAGAGACCGGAAGACCAGCTGGCTAGCGGGAGGCATATGCGCATGCGTGGCAGAGCTGAACTGGGGCAACATAGGTTCGCCATCGTGGGTTTAGGGTATATGGGGTGGACTAAGAGACCTCTAAGGTCCCTTCCAGCTCTATTCTATTGTATTCTGATTGATTGATTGATTGATTGATTGATCTATATGACTGGCAGACTATATGTGTAATGAGTTCCCCCCATAACCATCCACAGCACCAGATTACGGCCCAGTGACACCTTCTCAGTGATCCTCAAGGGGAGGATCCAATATACAGTGGATTGCAAGGTCTTTCAGAAGGTGGACCTGAAACAATTCAGTTTCAAAGATCTCAGATATTCCTAAAAAGGCAAACTTAGCAGCACGTATCCAAACCAAAAAGCAGGAGAGATGTTTCCTCTGCTGTTAGTAAAGCTTGCCCAGTCTGCCATCCCTCCTCCCATCTCTTTCCCAGCCCCTCCTTCCAAGTCTTCTTGATTTAATTCCTTTTAGATAAGAAATTGTGCAGATTAAAAATAAAAAAAACCAGGTGAACTTCAATCTGTCTTTTAATTTGGATCCAGTTCCACAAAGCCTCCCGTTTTCCTCAGTGTGACCCACCTTCCTGAGTGGAGAAGGTCCCCTCCGGACAAGGAACGCAGTCATAGCAGCAAACTGGCTCTCCTTCTCGAGCCCTCTTGACAAATCCAGGATGACAACTTTCCACACATTTGGACTGAGGCAGGGACTGAGCAGAAAAACAAGGAATGCCAAAGAAAATATGTTAGGATCTCCATCCATGGAAAATAGAGGTAGAAATGGATGGAGACAAGTAGCCTCTGATCATCATTGGGGTAAATATGAAACCTCTGACTACTTCTAAAGAGATGCAGGAGGTAAAACAACTGGCAGATTCTTCATTTAGTTCAATGGAATTGAAAAAAGTTTACTGTAAAATTTTTAGGAAACTTTTATTCCATTAGATTTTTTAATATGAAGTTAAATTGTGATGAAGAAAGAAACCTCTGACCAGTAAGATCTTGAAAGGTTTCCATAAAACATGGCAAAGCCACTCCACTTACCGTATTTTTCAGAGTTTAAGACGCAGCTTTGTTTTTGGGAAGGAAAATAGGGGGGGAAATCTGCCTACCAGGTATTCATCTGGCTAGCGTCCTCAGTCTGGTCAGCTCAGCACATTAGCTTGCTGGTTTTTTATTCCCTGCTTGGGGATGAAAAACAGCTTCTAAGGCACAGCTGAGAGGAAGCAGCAATGAGAAAAGCAGGCAAAGCACGGGGGGAGATCGCTTCATTCAGCTAGCGCCTCGTTAAGGCTGAAAAAAAATCTTCAAAAAAGCTACATTTGGAGTATAAGACGCACCCAAATTTTCAGCCTCTTTTAGAGGGGGTGGAGGTGCATCTTATACACTGAAAAATATGGTAGGTCCTGTCTGTTGAAGAACTTCCATTAGATGACACCAACTGGCATGGAAGGCCAACCACCCTGGAGACTCTAGGCTTTGCCCACTTGAAATGAGACCTCAGGCTTTGGAAAACAGAAAATTCAGCAAAATTTCTTTCACCTTATTGAGCAACTTTAGCCGTGAAAGAGCATCTTGTTTGATAGAAAGTCTCTGTCTTTCAAAATACGCCAGAATCTCTCTCCTTACATCCTCCTTGGGGTGAATCAAGAAGATTTTAATGCTCAGATCTGCTTTTATTTCTCCATTTTGGTCCAAGTACAGTTTTCTTCGAGAAATATTGAAAAATTCATTCCTCTCCAGAAAGGGATGAAACTAGAATGGGAACATCCAGGAATTTAAAAAACAGAGAACTTTGTTTCTTATCCCACATTGAATCTTTCTTCTACAATTGTCTGATCTGCAAGTATGCTTAATTAGGATACAAATATTATCATTATTTTTATAAGTGAATGAGAAAGTTTGAGAAAAAATTGTCCATCATATACTGACAAAATATAAAGAAAATATAATCGACACAATTGGTCAATTATAGGGAACATTCTAGAGCAGATGACAAATAAAATGAACAGAGAAAAAAAGATGATTCATAAACTCTTTGAAAACAAGAGGTTGATTCCCAGACAGCATGGGTTGATCAAGAAGAAAGTTGTCAAACTAATCTTATCACTGGTCATCCTGATGGAAAACAAATCCAGATGTGCTAATTCTACTTGATTGTAATGCGACATTAACAAAATTTTGCAGATCTGAAAGAACAAATCTCCCACCAACTCTTTTCTCAGCCTGAGAAGTTAGCCAGGATCCTTTCTGAGTTTCTTTCTCTCCCATTATGCAGCTGCAGGATTCTCCCCTCTTCTCTGATCCTTCCCTAGGCAGCCTCTCTTCCCCTCATCCCAAAAGTCATTCTCACACATCATTGCACTTCCTAAATAGATTATGGGAACTCTGGTGATATCACTGGATTTCAGTAAAGGACTCACAAACAATTTTGTGGTATGATTAGAAACCTGAGGGGTGGATAATAAGTGGATAAAAACTCTCTTCAAAATGATACACAAATAATTTTTAACCCTATTAAATTTTTCCTATGAAACCTGAAGGTGATGGATAACAATTTGCCATTGCTCATCAATTTTTCTACAAGCCTTATTTGAAACATCATTTAAAAAGTTTGATAAAATAACAATGGTTTTAAATCAACTTAAAAATGATAATCAGAAGCAAGCAACAATTGTTGAATCGGATGGATTGGATGGTCGGATGGACTGGAACTGAATTTCCTGCTGGCATCCCTGAAGGAGGAGTCTGGTTTGAAGGCAGGATGCTTGGAGATGGCTGGAGAGGCCATGGACCCTGAAGACTCAAAGTGGACAGAACGGATGACTGATGAAATGGATTCTTTCAAGAAGATTGAGGAATTTTAAGGAAATGCATTATTATTAAGAATCAAACAATGATATTTAACCCTGGACAGATTCTGGATGGATCAGAGATAATGATTGTGGTGGTCTGTGGTAAATAAGAAGCTCCTGTAAATTTTCTGTGAATTAAATAGAATAGCAGATTACAGACCATTTTGAAGTTTTTAAATTTCCTTTATTGTAGGATTGCCTGTTAGCTACATTTTTTATATACAGCAGATAAATAACAAGTCAAGTATTTGCAAATAGATGTGTAGTTTATAATTGTGGGCCTATTTTGCAAGGGGGAGAAACTATTATTGCTGTATTGTATTCAACTGGGGGGACAATATGCAAGTTTTTGTCTGTTTTTAATGCACAATTTTTAAAAAATCTTTTGTCTAGTTTTGTTTTGTCTTTGTAATAGTTTTATTTTCCAAAACTTGTATTTTACCTTTTTGAATAAAATAAAATTTAATAAGAGGAATATCAAGTTTCCAGAAACAATATTTATGATTAGGACACAGAGAAGGGTACATGAGTAAAAAGCAATAGAAAAAATCTGATTTTTAGCAACGAGGACTTGACTAACAATAGAGTCTACTAGAAGAACACGAATGATGTACTGGAAGAAGGATGAGGGATATCAAACTTGATATTTATGTTTGTGGAAATGATCTCAAAATCGTAGTTAACTGGAAACAGAATCTGAGTCAGCAGGGAGATGTTCATGGAAAGAAGGCAAATGCAGCCATAAGAATCTCAGGAAGTGAATGTTGTGGTTTGGGGGAGACCCCAACTCAAGGACCAGGTCCCCTTGCAGGCACCACTCTTGGAGGAGAATTTGCACAAAATCTACGTGTGAACTTCAGGGAAGGAGAAATAAGCCAAGGAAGAGATCAAAGGAGCTGCTCTTAGCTTTGAGGAAAGAGAACAAGGAGAAGAGCTGAAGATCAGGAGGAGTCTGGGAGCCCCTTTTCCAACTGACACAATCTCTCGGTTGGAGAAGGGAGGATGCAGCCCTCTTCCAATCACTGACACGGGTTACACACGAGTGCAAGATTGCTCACTATTATTCCAGAGTGTCAAACACAGAAAAATGAATTCAGTTACAAGAGAGGAGATTTTAGCTGAATGAAAGAAAAAAAATATGATAAAAGGATGAGTTGTTTTAGAACTGAGCCAGTGAAGCAGAGAAGTTCAGTCTCCTCTTCATGGATTGTCTGAATGCAAAGACTGAGCAGCCATCAGTCAGAGAAGCTTTAAGTGGGATTCCTGCAGAGAGGAGGGGTTGGGCTAGATGGTCTCAAGGTCTTCTCCAAATTTATGAAGGTTGTCATGCCACAACATGTAACTATTGTGCTGTTGTTGCTCTAGCCCCACCTAGTGGCCGGGGGCAGATAAGCCTAACTGTATGGTCTGAAGCCAGACTCCCTTTTCTCTCAGCCTTTGGAGGAGACGGAAGCAGCCGGTTTGACCGAGACACCTGGTCATCTGGAGACAGCCTCCGTCCCTCACACGGAGCATCGCTGGAGAGGTTCCAGTTGCTTCTTTGTTGGCTGTTAGTTAATGCTGCCTATCTCCTATTTATATTTGATTCTCACTCTTTGCATCTCCTCAGTTTCTCCGTGCCCTTTTCTCCCAATGAAACACCCAGATCCACCCCAGGCTCCCTTTCACTGGAGGAGAAGAGGGGGGTTTAGCTGCCTGTTGAGCTGCACACAGACCCACCTGCAGTGGGGACGGAACAAAGGAGAAATTCCACCATGCTCATCACAAACCCACAAATACAGGAATTTATTTAAAAAAGAATACAGCATTTTCAAATGAGCAGAGTTTAATATTAAAATGCCATGGTATCTACTCTTTGGAACCATTATTCCCTCAGCAATTAAATTGGCCAGATCTGTTGAGTTTGTTCCCCTCCTTCTCCTCTGGATTCCTCCTCCAAAGGATCTAAGATTAATGGATCCATATTGAGACCCCCATACCTGCCACGGCTGCAGCCTTGGAGACCCCAAAGTCTTTTCTCCCTCCTTCCTTCTCCTCCTCGATCTGGAGGAATAAGCGGCATTCAAGGCCTGGGCCAGAGTCTGAATGATACTGTAATATTGATAGTTGTTTGCGATCCGTCTTCTTTTCTCTTTCTCCTGGGTCTCCAGTGGGGCTTTCTGGGTGCATCTTCTGCGGCCTTTGACAGAAAAAACGTTCTTTGAAAGAGAACAGTGGAAATAAGGATCTTGAAACTTTTTTTCCACAAAGAAATGGGGTTCAAAGGCTTCATCCATTGGCCTTTCTTTTGGCAGATAACCAAAGTTCAAAATACTACGGATGTATTTGAAAAGTCTATGATTCTTCATTGTATACCCTACAAAACTTGTGAGGATCCAGACTTTCCCTTCAATGGGTCCTGGCAGATGCATAAATGTTAAATGGAAAGGAAGAATTCTCTCCCAGATGGAAACACGTTCTCTGAAGTGAACAAAGACGTTGACTTGTCTCCACTTAGAGAGGGAATCCCTGAGGGATGCTGTATATCCAGTTGTTGAGAACAGTTGTGATATAACCACACAAATTCCATTCCTGACAAGCACAGGAGGAAAAATCCTCATGAAATTCTCTCCCTTCCCTGTATCTGAAGCAAAGAGGCCAATGAAGGTCCATCTGAAATGGAGGAGCAGCTGGACAATTGCTGGGTACTGGATCCCTTCTTTGGGGAGAATTTGGTGGAAAAAAGGGAATTTCCTTTTATCACTCAGAGCCTCTGAAACAATTGTATGACTGACCTGAAAAAGCAATGAAGAATGCTGTGTTATATTTGGGATCAGATCAAGTCCAAAATATTAGATTTTAATAAATCCAACCTGGTTCTCATGAATGTGTTAGAACAGTTTGTTAATCAGACATTGTTTAAAATATTAAAGGCAGAATTTTTTAACTTCTTTCTCCAGTTATACAAGAAACAGGGAGACCTCAGTTCCTAATAAGATTTGTCAGTTGAGTAATCCAAGATTGTTCTTTCATTGAAGTTTTCATTTGTCTGTTCCAACAGCCACAATTTTCAGAGTCTGTCAGTTTCCATAGATTAAATTTTATGCCAACAATACCCATATTTTCTGAATTTAGACAAAGCAGAAATGGTGTAAATTCCCAAATCAGCTCTGAGGGCAGCAGCTGGAGTCCTTTTACCCACCCCAAGATCCTCCTCAGAGGCTGAGATTGGGTTGGTTCTGCTGGTGGTTTCTCTCTGAAGCCCCAAACATCAGATTGATGTAAGAACATGGGGGAAAACTGGGCCTCAGATACTTTAATCATTGGGGCTGAGGAAGCTGGAGAGCTATGAGGTTTTCATTTAAGCACCACTTTCACTCCTGCCCTTTCTCTAACTGAGCTCCTTGGATGATGAGGGAGCCAAGATTCAGGCTCAGAGAAAACAACCCCAGGTAAGGAAAGGTGTTACTTGCTCTAATGGCTGACCATCTATGGCTATGATGTCATTTCCCAAAGATCATAACTTTTGAACTTGCTTTATAAATTATCAGATAATTATTCAGACAAAACAATCCAAGTCTATACAATCCAATGTCTAAGAATGAGAATATCACATTATCAGTGTCAATCGGTGTATTCCAATAGGAATTTAGCAGGCTAAACATGTGTACTTATAACAGAACCTATAACAAAGTAAAAGGGTTGGAAGGGACCTTGGAGATCCTCTAGTCCAACCCCCTGTTCAAGCAGTAAACCAGGCATAATAGCAGTAACTGTGAGAGGGATCCTGGAGTCTTAATGGACAGCCAATTAAATATGAGTGAAGAGTGTGCAGCGGCAGCCAAAAAAGCCAATTAAATCCTAAATTGCATTAACAGAGGGATGCAATCAAGATCAAGAGAGGTACTAATACCACCCTATAAAGCCTTAGTAAGACCACACCTAGAATCCTGCATCCAGTCTTGGTCACCACACTATAAAAAAATATGTTGAGACTCTAGAAAATGTGCAGAGAAGAGCAACCAGGATGATGAGGGGATTGGAAGGGATTAGAGGGGATTGGAGGCTAAAAAGAGCCTTGGTAGTACAGAGGTTTAAGGCACCCTGTTATTAAGCTGGTTATTAAGACCAGCTGCCTGCAATTACTGCAGGGTTCGAATCTCGCCAAGGCTCAAGGTTGACTCAGCCTTCCATCCTTTCTATGGTAGGTAAATTGAGGACCCAGTTGTGGGGGCAATAAACTGACTTTGTATAAATATACAAAAGGATGAAGGCTATTGCTGAGCACATTGTAAGCCGCCCTGAGTCTTCGGAGAAGGGCGGCATATAAATCAAATTTTTTTAAAAAAATACGATGAACGGTTGCAGGAACTGAGCATGGCTGGTCTAGTGAAGAGAAGAAACAGGGGAGACATGATAGCACTCTTCCAATATTTGAGGGGCTGCCACAGAGTGGAGGGGGTCAAGCTGTTTTCCAAGGCCAGACAAGGAATAATGGATGGAAACTGAATAAGGAGAGATTCAACCTGGAAATAAGGAGAAATTTTCTGACAGTGAGAGCAATCAACCCAGGGAACAGAAGTTGCCTTCAGAAGTTGTGGGAGCTTCATCATTGGAAGCTTTCAAGAAGAGACTGGACCGTCATCTGTCAGAAATGGTGTAGGGTCTGCTTGGACTAGATGACCTGCAAGGTCCCTTCTAACTCTGTTAATCTGTATCTATCTATACTATTCCAGACAAGTGGCTGTCCAGTCTCTTCTTAGAAGCCTCCAGTGATGGACCACCCAGAATTTCTGAAGGGTAGACATTCCATTCCTCACCATTAGGAAATTTCTCCTTAGTTCTAGGTTGTTTCTCTCCCTGATTAGTTTCCATCCATTGTTTCTTGTCTAGACATACTGAATTCCTGCAACTGTTCCTCATATGTTTTAGTCTCCAGGCCCTTAATCATCTTTTCTGCACTCTTTCCAGAGTCTCTACATCTTTTTTATAATATGGAGACTAAAACTGGATGCACTATTCCAAGTGTGGTCTTGCCAAGGCATTATAAAGCAGTACCAATACTTCATATGATCTTGATTTTATCCCTCTGTTAATGCAGCTTAGAAATAGCTTCCCGAGAAATAGGTTGTGGTTTACTTTGTCAAAGCCTTTCTGAAATCCAAGTACCGGATACTACATGCACTGCATTTCATTGGTCCCCTAATTTAGTCATTTTTGTCAAAGAATGAAATAACATTTATTTATGATATGGTTTTTTTTATCCTTCATTACTCCTAGTAAGTCATTCATATTCACACTGAATAAGAAGGGTTTAAATATGCACCATTCCCTTCCCTCTTGGTAAGCATAGATCCTTCTTCTCTTGGCTCCATTGAGCCCAAACCTCCCTCTCAAACAAGGGCTTGGATCAGGGCCAACAGGCTGAGCTCCATAATGAGGGCAAAACATTTTCTCCATCATATTTCTCTGTTTATTGAGTCAAATGCTGCACTAACATCTAGTTTTACTTCGCTGATATAGATTAGATATTTCAAGACAAAATTGTTGCCAAAATTAGATTGTTAACTTGTGCATTATCTATGTAGTATTTAACTCTACCTAAACCTTCTGCTTCTTCTGCAAGGAATGCATTTTCTCAAGTTAAACTAAGAGGATCATGGCATAAATTTTAGCCACAATATCTGTTAGTCTAATTGGCCTATAATTGCTACAGTAATTTTTATTCCAGTTTTTAGATGGATAAAATGCTACTATTGCCAACTTCAATCCAACTGGATAAGGCAGGCATTATTTATCTGTGAAAATGAAGATGCCAATAGAGGCCCCAACAACCAGGGATATTTTTGATCAGTTAAATAGTTGGTAGAATATCTTCTCCAGGGAATGTATTGCTTGCATTTCAGGCCTTTTCTGATTAATCTCAACATGAACATAATGGGGTAAAATATTGAGAATATGGAGAAAAGCAGCTCTTGAATTCCATGGAGAAGATATGATTGCATCTATTGCTCACCCACCACCACCCACCACTCACTTTACCAGAGGGAGAAAAACACACACAAACCTGTGGGACTTTGTAGGTGCCTCCTAATGTTGACGCCTGGATGGAGATGTCCCTGTCAGCTGCATCAAGAAGAGCCAGGAGGTTCTCCTTCCTTCCACAGCCGTAGTTGGGGACATTGGCTTCTCCAGTGGAGAGCATGTCCAGCAAGGCATCTGAAGTTTGGAAAGTGCTAAAATAGTTGTCGTGGATGTTGTAGCCCAGTGTGAGATTGTGCAAGAGATGGGAATTCTTGTTGACCATTTGAATGGCGAAAATGAATCGTAAGCCATGTGAAAAACCATAAACATTCCTATTGGAAAAACATGTTATTATAATCAAAAGCAACAATAAATAATGTTTTAATATATAATCCTCTACAAGCCTACAGAGCCTTAAACCAACATTGATCCAAAAGCAATGATCAGTTACACAAATATGGAAATTGGCTGAGTTACAGCAACTACAACTGATTCCACCACTACTATAAATTCATTATTCAAATGATAAATTAAGGATTGAAGTGAGAGAGGAAAATAATCTGCACCCCTTTCAGCTTTTTTTCAGACCCATTTTTGGATTTGAGTCTCTTTCACAAAATCAGACAAAAGAGAGAAGCCATGGAAATCAAAATCATTCAGGAAATTAGACATATTCCCCAATATGTCTGGATAGCTCAACAGACAGAGCTCTGTAATTTAACACCAGCTGTCTGCAATTAAAGTAAGATCGAATCTCGCCAGGCTCAAGGTTGACTCAGCCTTCCATCCTTTCTAAGGTAGGTAAAATGAGGACCCAGTTTGTGGGGGCAATAAGCTGACTTTGCATAAATATACAAAAGTATGAAGGCTATTGCTTAACGCATTGTAAGCCACCCTGAATCTCCAGAGAAGGGCGGCATATAAATCAAATAATAAAAAAAAAAGGAATGAATGAAAAATAAAAAACAGAAAAGAAGAAGAGTGTTAGAATGGAGGGACTGCAACTCCATCACCCTGAATGACTTACGGATCATGGAAAACAAACTGAAGAGAAGGAGCCACGTTAAAAAGCAACTTTATATGCAATATTTCATTTCCAGTGGTGATTATACTAATGAGATGGTCTCCTGGGCTGTAATAGCTCTTTGGTTGTTTTCCATCCTCCTGTTTGAAATTCAGCGGGCATTTCATTCTCAGCTTCCCAGAGACTGGATGGGACAAAAGCAGCATCAGAAGCAGAAGCAGGAAGTCCATAATTCATGGCGTGAATCAATATATCTGTTTCCTGTTTCTAAAGAAGAATTAGAAGAATTTAAAGGACTCTCACAAGGTGGAACATCCAGATGCTTTTCTGATTGAAACACAGAGAAACACTCAGCTTCACCTGGAAAGGAGGGAGACGTACATTCAAGAGCACAGACTCTGCCTGTCCCAAAACTCCATATTTCTCTGCCCAAAGTCTCCCCTGGAGGATTCGGCCAAACAGCAGAGCTGAAACTTTTACCATAATTCTCCCTCTCAGGAGGGATCCCTGGATAATTCAATTAGTTCTTGGACTCAAAAATTGTTGGGCATTTCTCTGGAGGGAAATGAAAGGGAAATAATCTCCATGTGTTTCATAATAACAGGGTCAGAGATGGAATTAAATCGGTCATCTAGAATTGAGAGGTTTGGGAGCTCCTTGACTGAAACTGGCCCTGGAGGTAATACATGGCACCTGTGGCTGAAGAAAGAAAAAAAACTGATATTTTTTTGCATAGTGATGAAAGACAAAACTCTGGAGGGCAATTAATTCACAGATCTGAAATAGCTGCCAGCTGAGTTGGAACCAAAATTTACTTTATTTTGAAAACTAATGCTCAAGAGCATTGCACAAAAGGGCTGATGCAATAGTGTGGCCAGACTCCTAGAACAAAATCAACCTTAGTGAGAAACTAGTTTCTAGAACTTTGCAGAGTAAAAAAAAAATGAGATAGAGAGAGAGAGAGAGAGAGAGAGAGAGACAGAGAGACAGAGAGACACAGAGAGAGAGACAGACATTAGAAAAAAACAAGTGAAAAGAGACGGAGAAATCAAGGCTGCCTCTCACCCCATGTGGGAAGGGGAGGGAGGGAGGGAGGGAAGGAGAGGTCAGGACCCTCGTGTTGCAGATGGAAAGCTGATCTTCAAAATCCAACTTCCATCTTCAGATACCTGTGTAAGGTCCCAAAATACACTTGAGTCACCAGAATGCCAAAGAGAGAGACTCAAGACGAGGCTTGCAAAAAAAAGCAGATTTTATTTATGGCCAAAAACAAAATACTGGGTGGAACTATATCCAGAACATACAGATACAATGCATGCGAGGAGATAGCCACACCTTGGGGAAGGTATGGCATCTTTTTATACCCTCAGAGACGTCAGCTTAGTACCCAATTCTGGCCTCCTAATTTAGGTTTGTGTTGCCCTGCAAGGGGGAATAGAAACTTCCCAATTAGTCATCCTTGAGCATTTCTTTGTTTACTCAATTGGCCACTTTGGCCCCCTGGCTCTGGAAAGCAGGAGTTTATCCAGATCAAACATAAATTAGGGCTGAGGTGTAAATCATCCCTTTGTTGATGGCTGTAGTTTCAACTGAGATACGTACCATGCTTTTAGATAGATTGATATGAGTTCAGGTCAAATGGCAGGGACATACGTTTGACAAATACCAGATACATTACAGAGGCCTAATAACAATATGTTTGTAACAGGAGATACAAATACAAAGGAATAATATGCATGATACAAATACAAAGGCATATATGTATTACAGGAACCTAATGGTTACAGAATCTAGTATACCAGTATATCATATTCTAGTATTATTTATTATATCCTTATTATTGTTTCCCTTTCACTATCTTTGGATTTTCTGAATGAAAATGTTCATGTTAGGACTTTCCCTTCTAGGTGCCAATCATTATTATAATATGGCAGCTTTCTCAGCACATGTTATAAGATGTTGGCTGGGCTGTCCTGGCTCATTTTAAATTGCTACACTGCAGAAATGGCTGGAAATTTCTTTTACAGAATCAATAAGAAACTCCACCGGAGAAACAGAGGTAGGAGACAATTAAAAAGACAGAGTTATTATCTACTTAAGTTTAGCAGCAAGTGTGAAGAGATTAGATGCCAGAAATATCAGCTGGCACCTAAGATTTGGGAATAAAGAGCCCAGATAAAGCTGCTGGTGTAAGAATGAATGACAATAAGTTTGTGTTTTTAAAGTCTATTTTTTCCCAGTGGTACCAGAAGAGCAGCTGGACTTTGGCCTCTGGAGACACATGGACGTATGTACTATATAGTTACAACCAATATATAGGACATAAACCATGAAAGTAAACATGGCTCTTTTGGGTGAGGGGGATTAACTGGGCTTGAGGGTTTTCCCTGTGCTCAGGCCCAACTTCCTTATGATCTCCATGGCTTTTCAGCAGAAGACTTCACGGGCTGGCCAGTTGCTCCCAATCCAGCAAGGGCATCCCTCTCAGCGGTCCATCAGCGCCCCCCCCCGTCCCCCTCAGGTAAGCAGTCTAAATCTTCTGGGGAATGTTTTGAGTGCCCATTACTAAGTACGACAAATGATCATTTTATTATATGAAGGAATCAGGCTGAGAGATCAATTCTCTCCCATAACAAATAACCTTTTCTTTTAAGCAGGAGAGGCTAGCTGCAGGGAGCTGGAGGAGAGGCAGAGGAGGTGAGAAAGTGCCAGGAATTTTGAGGGAGTTTTAATTTTAAACAAGTTGGATGGTTGGAGTGAAAACCTGAGGGGGCTAATTTCGCTCTTGTCTTCCTCTTTTACAGAATAAATATTTTGGAACAACAGCTGCAGTTCGAGAGAGAGGAGTACAAGAGCCTCCTCTGCAGAGTTCTGCAGCACACTGGGGAGAAACGGGAGCTCCTCACGGAGATTAAAACTCTCCAAGAACAGCTGGAGAAATGAGAAATATTTAGAAGGGAATCCTTCCTTCCTTGCTTCCATGAATCGATGTGTTGGAGGAAGAGGTAGAACGAGAAAGAAAGAAATATAAAAGCTTCCTCTGAAGGGTTCTGCAGCAAGCTGGGGAGAAACAGGAGCTCCTCACGGAAAACAAAAGACTGAAGGAACAACTGGACAGGTGAGAAATATTTAGTATCACCTATCATCTATCATGAGAGGGCTAATTTCTGCTTTTCATCATTTACAGGAATTCAAAAATGTTTGAAGAAATGGTAAAAGAAAGAGTCCAACTTAAAGAAGAAATAAAAGACCTTAAAATCAAGAACTGGAAGTTGAGCGAGGAGAAGGCGACCATCCTGCGGAATTTCAGGGAGAGGCTGAGGAGGTGAGAAGCAGGTAGACAGCAGCCCTGGCTGAGGGAGGGAGAGGACCAGGATTCCTTGAAGCCGCTTGGTTGAACCATGATTCCAGGGTGAAGAACCTACTCTATAAGGGATGGAGGGATAGAGGAAAATTAGAATGGGGAGGCCACATTTGACCACTTACGACAAAATCTCCCTTTCTCCTTCTTCCAGAGGCAGAGACCGACCACCATGCTGAAGGGGCTGAAACATCAGGAGGAGGACTTGGAAAATCTGCTGAGGATCCCAAGATGGCCAGAAACATCTGCCAGGAGCTTCAAGTACAGGGAGCCTCCTCCTCCCCTCCCCCTCTTCCTCCCCCTCCCCCTCCTTTCCCTCCTCGCCCCTTCCTCCTCACCAAGGAGAAATGATTCTCTGTCTCAGCCACATCCAGCTATCCCTGAAAAGTGCAGGACAACAGAAGAACGTGGTCTCCTCGCTCAACTTCCATAGGTTGTTATTGCTTTTTCTTGTTATTTTTCAGTTATTAATACAGTTGTCATTGTTATTATCATCATTATTGTCATTGTTGTTATTTCATTAGTCCTGGAACTGACCAGACTTGAATGACCAGAGTGTCCAACAGTGGCTCATGTCTGCATTCTTGTCTTATCACTTCACAAGTGTGCAGCAGGAGGCCCCAAACACTGGGAGCTCCAGAACAAATCTTCTGGAATCTTCTTCTGAAATCAGGAATTCAAAAATGTTTGAGGAGATGGTTGAGGAACGAGTGGAGCTAAAAGATGAAATAAAAGAACTCAGATTGAAGAACCAGAATTTGAGCAAGGAGAAGGCAACAATCCTGCAGAATTTCAGGGAGAGGCTGAGAAGGTGAGAAATATGGAGATAGCAGCCCTGACTGAGGGAGGGAGAGGACCAGGATTCCTTGAAGCAGCTTAGAAAGAAATGAGATCTCATCCAGCCACTCCTGGAATCATGAAATGGACGCAGGGATTGATGACAAATCCACCCATTTCCTCCATTTAAATTCAAAGGTTAATTTTTTTCATCAGCCTACATAAAATAACATTAGGATTCCAGGATGAAGAATCTACCCTATAAGAGATGGAGGAATAGATGAAAATTAGAATGGGGAGGCCACATTGGAACCCTTACTACTAAATCTCCCCTTCTCATTCTTCCAGAGCCAGAGACTCCATCACTCACCAACCGCCATGTTGAAGGGGCTGGAACATCCCATGGGGAAGGAGAGGACCAGGAGGAGGACTTGAAGAACTAGGAAAAGCTCCCGAGGAATCCCAAAATGGATTGAAACATCTATTGTACTACAAACACCCCTACATTTCTAAAATAAAGTTCCAAAAGAAGGAGAAAACTTACGAATGTCTGGCTCCTGACACTTTTAGTCCTATGTGTATAAAGCTAGGTCTACTATGAGGAGCTCCTGAAGGAAAATTTCCAGCCTGTGGAAAACAACGCAGGACTCTGCAAGGAGCTGGAGGAGAAACAGGAGGTGAGAAATTTTCTGACAGCATCCCTGACTTTCATTGTTGGTCCAAATTTATCTCTAACCTTCTGATTTTTCTAGAGAGAAAGAACTGAGGAAGAACCTCTGCAGGTGACTGATGTACAGAGACCAGCTGGTACCACTTAATAGTACAGAGTCCAAAAGAAACACAAGGGCGGACATTAGAACACTGGAAGACAAGAGAGAAACTCTTGAAGACGTGAAACCTTTGATGCTGCCGTATAAACCGGAGAAGGAATGGCTGAAAGCTTCTGGGGAGAATCTCAAAGCCAAGAAAGCCCCACAGAGGCTTCTCCTCAGCCATCCAGAGACTCCCTGGCAGGAAGACTCTTCTGGCATCCCTGGTCAACCTTCCAAAGGAAGGTCCTGGAGCCTCCAGAGGGGTTGGCTGGATGTATCCATAATTCTTCTCCAAGAAAAAGGAGCAGAAACACCTCATTGAAATGTGCAGAAATGGAGGGAAGCATCTGTTCAAGCCATTCAAGATTGACAGACGTCTATGGTGGAGATCCACACTCCATGCCTTGAGGTGATCTTCCTTCTGAGGGGATCCTTTGATGGAAAGTGAGGGTTCTCCTCTTCCTTTTTCCTCCCATCGAGCACTGAAATGGCTTCTCCTCTTGCCTTTTTGGCTGCTGTTCCTCAGGCCTTTGAGGTCCCAATGGAGCTGGATAGGACTCTCCTTCCAGGTCACGTCAGACATCAGATTTGGCTCTGAATCATTCTCATCAACTCCCTGATAAAAATAAAGAAAAGCCCATTAAAATGGAAGAATGAGAGATCCGTCTATGTAAATGGTGTGTTTGTGGCATTGGGTTCCTGCACGGGGGATGGGGTTGGACTAGATGACCATGAAGGTGCCTTTCAAAGCTTACATTCTATGATTCTCTGAATGCCTGCAGTACAGGTAGTCCTTGACTTATGACCATTCATTTAGCAAGGTTGAAAGTTATGACAAAGCTGAGAAACGCAACTTAGAAGGCAGATCCTCACAGTGTCCCTGTTTAGGCCTGGAGACTGAACCACAGGAAGAACAGCTGCAGGTTTTGGGTCTGGCTAGTCTGAAGAAAAGAAGAATTAGGGGTGATGTGATAGCAGTATTTCAATATCTGGGAGGCTGCCACAAAGAAGACGGGGTCAAATTAGTCTCCAGAGCTCCAGAGGGCAGGACAAGAAACAACGGATGGAAACTGAACAAAGAGAGAAGCAGCCTGGAATTAAGGAGAAACTTCCTAACAGAGAGGACAATTGACCTGTGGAACTGCCTGCCTCCAGAAGTTGTGGCTGCTTCATCCCTGGAGGTTTTTCAGAAGAAACTAGACAGCCACTTTTTCTGAGATCATTTAGGTTCTCCTGCTTGAGCAGAGGGCTGGACTAGAAGACCTCCAAGGTCCCTTCCAGCTTCTATTCTATTCTATTCTATTCTATTCTATTCTATTCTATTCTATTCTAGAGGCGGAGGCCTCAGACACAGCCGGTCCCCCATTTTCTGGGCTGCTCTCTCATCAGCCCCCAGGAAGGTCAAGACAGTTAAGACAGGACGACCCCTGAGAATTTTATGAGTTGGTACATTCCAACGGCTCTCTGACTACCCAGAATCCCCCTGTCCAAGTGGTTCAGACCGAAGCAGCAGCAAAAACCCTCAGCTAATAAAAAAGTAAACACCGTTGCCATGACTACATCTCCAGGCATCCACCTTGAGATTATCAAAGAGAATAGAATTAGAATTAGAATAGAATAGAAAATGCGGAATAGAATAGAATAGAATAGAATAGAATAGAATAGAATAGAATAGAATAGAATAGAATAGAATAGAATAGAATAGAATAGAAAATATGGACTAGAATAGAATAGAATAGAATAGAATAGAATAGAATAGAATAGAATAGAAAATATGGACTAGAATAGAATAGAATAGAATAGAATAGAATAGAATAGAATAGAATAGAATAGAATAGAATAGAATAGAATAGAATAGAAAATATGGACTAGAATAGAATAGAATAGAATAGAATAGAATAGAATAGAATAGAATAGAATAGAATAGAAAATATGGACTAGAATAGAATAGAATAAAATAGAATAGAAAATGCGGAATAGAATAGAATAGAATAGAATAGAATAGAATAGAATAGAATAGAATAGAATAGAATAGAATAACAGAGTTGGAAGGAATAGAATGGAATAGAATAGAATAGGAATAATAGAAAAGTAAATACAGAATAGGATAGGACAGGATAACTTTATTGTCACTTTAAATGTACACTAATCAGCATACATTAAAATGGAATTTTGTTGCATAGAGCTCTCAGAGGGCTGCCACCGCCAATATACACTACATAATCATGACTAAATAAATAAATAAATAAAATTATGTATATATATCCACATACACACCTATATTATCTGACACAGAGAAACATCACAGTCTCGTTCGGATGTGTACATGTACCTGGTGAGAAAAAGGCATCCTGAGTTTCCCAGGCGGAGGGCATCAGGAGTAAAGCCCCTACAGAATCGGGGAGTCCTGCTGGAAATCCTTGGAAACCCCCTCCCAGAGGAGAGCCAGAGTGGGTGGATGGGGTCTCCAACAATGCTTCGATATCGATATCTAATTTATATTGTAAGCCTCCCTGAGTCTCCGGAGAAGGGCAGCACATAAATCGAACAAATAAATATACAACCTCTTTGGCCACTTTGGTCATTAAGTGAGTCCGGCTTCTCCCATTGACTTGGATTGTCAGAGGATGGCTGGGAAAGCTGGCTGGGAAACCTCTGGACCAAAAAGACTTTGGAATCCGATCTTTCCCTAAATGATGGACCGGACCGGATCTCTCCTTCCCAGCTGCCCCGCCTGCCTCCAATGTCCCACCTCACCAAATAAATCTCCAAGGAAATTAAGTGAAGCGAGTCCGTTTTATGAGAGGAGTGGGCTAGAGGATCCAGGAGAGAAAGGGGGGAAGGAGGGGAGCGGGTGGACTGAGAGGGAGATGAGTGATCCACTTGATCCCTTTAACCTTGGAGAGAGAGATTGACAGGTCCTCTCTTGGGTCAAAATATTACAATATTAGCATTTTGTGGAACATTCTGTGGGCTCAGTTCTCCTGGGAGCCTTGGGGGGCCTCCCCTCCATCTTTCACCCCCCCCCCCATTTCCTCTTTTCCTTCCAGACCTCTCGGGGTCTCTGTCAGCGCGTGTGAGGCTCCCTATGGAAAGGTCCACCGTTGCTGGAGGGGGCAGCCTGGCATCTGCCCACAGCTGGATCAGAGATGATGACATCACAGCACGTGTCATAAGACCTTGGCCGGCTGTCCTGCCTCATTCTCAACTGCTACCACTGCAGGGATGGCAGGAAATTTTTTTTATAAATTGAACAAAAGAGTCCAGCAGCGAAATAAAGGTAGGATACAACCAGTGGTGGGATTTAGAAAACTTAACAAATGGTTCTGTGCCCTAATGACCATTTTAAGTATAAAAAACGTTTCTTAAGTCTTATTTTGGGGGAATGTCTTACTTTAGAGCAGGTGGGGGGTGGGGCCTGTGGATAATGAGAAGGAAGGAAGGAAGGAAGGAAGGAAGGAAGGAAGGAAGGAAGGAAGGAAGGAAGGAAGGAAGGAAGGAAGGAAAGAAAGACAGACAGAAAGAAAGAAAGAAAGAAAGAAAGAAAGAAAGAGGGAGGGAGGGAGGGAGGGAGGGAGATTCCGACAGAATTGGGGTTGAAATCAGAAGGGGCTGATCAGGGATGGGTTCTAAATTTTTTTACTACCGGTTCTGTGGGCGTGGCTTATTTTGTGGGTGTGGCTTGATGGTCATGTGACAATTCTTTAGGATTTAGCAGAGGCTTTTAACTGGTAGACCAGTAGCCCAGCCCAGACCCCCTTGGGATCAACCTGCAGCCCCCCCTGCCTCCTCAGGCGGTGGAGCGGGTGGGGGGGAAGCTTTTCAAGAAGTCACAAGGAGGGCCGAGAGCTAAGATTTGGTCCAGAACCAACCCCAACAGGAAGGTCTCTTATTTGCTCCTTGTACTCCTTGGCTTTGCATTTTTAACAGGTAATAAATTAAATTTCTGATGATGCAAAAGTAGCTCATAACTCACCTTTCTAGACAGCTCTTCTCATGTCTAAAAGCAAGATACTCTTCTCCATCTTTTCTCTGGAGGACCATTTAATCCAGAGCCTTTTAATTCCAGAAGTCCAAGTTTAAAGAATGGACTTCTGGAATTAAAGCTCCATTTTTTAGCTAAAACTTAATTCACACCTGTTAGTTTTGCTTGAGCAGTGTGAACAATTGACAGTGTGAAAGCAGGGGTGGGTTCTAAATTTTTTTTACTACCGGTTCTGTGGGCGTGGCTTATTTTGTGGGTGTGGTCATGTGACTGGGTGGGCGTGGCTTGTGGTCATGTGACCAGGTGGCCATGGCTCTGTGTATAGGGACTACTCAGAGAGCTGAAAAAAGTCATTTCTGACAGGTCCTCACACTTTTGACCAGTCTTCTCGCTTATGACTGGTCATCATTTATGCCCATTGTAGCATTCTTTTTTTTTTTATTATTTTTTTTTTTTTTATTGAAAGAGTTTTACAACAAATACAATTTCCCCACAACCCCCACCCCCCCTCCCCTTCCCCGACTTCCCAGAGCAGAACACAAGGTATTTCTATTAAGCTTTAACAGTAAGCTAAATTGCATAACCAATTATGCTAACACCCCTAAAAGAAAAATTCCCTTAACCCCCCATATATGAAATCCTATTTCTTAAACATAATATTTCTAATATCACTTATATAGCACTTGTACAAATAATAAGAAAAAAAACATCATTCGTAAGCTATTTGATATTTTTTGGTCTGATACTTATTTTGTATATAATCAATCCATCTTCTCCAATCCTGTATATATCTTTCTTGTGTGTGATCCTTCAAAAATGCTGAAATTTTAGCCATTTCAGCTAAATTAGTTACTTTCAATATCCAATCATCAATAGTAGGCAAAAAATCCTTCTTCCAATGTTGTGCAACCAACAATCTTGCTGCTGTTATCAAGTTCAAAATCAATTTAGTCTCTACAACTGTACAATCTGTGGTTATACCCAATAAAAACAACTGTGGAGTAAATTTCAGTTTCTTTTTAAGAATATTCTGCATCACCCACCAAATCTTTATCCAAAATGCTTTGATTTTTCTACAAGTCCACCATATATGATAATAAGTTGCGTCATCACAGTCACATCTCCAACATTTAGCTTGCACATTAGGATACATACATGATAACTTTTTGGGATCTAAATGCCATCTATAAAACATTTTGTAAAAGTTTTCTCTTAAATTTTGTGCTTGTGTAAATTTCACATTTCTAATCCAAATTTTTTCCCAAGTCTCCATCATTATTGGTTCCTGAAAGTTTTGTGCCCATTTAATCATACAGTCTTTAACCAATTCCGTCTCGGAATCTATTTCTAATAAAACATTATACAACCTTTTAATATGCATTTGTTTTTGGTCTCTAATTTGTTTTACCAAATTCTCCTCATTTTGCACAAAGCCAGTTTTTTGATCTTCCTTCCATCTAGCTTGAAGCTGACCATACTGAAACCATGTATAAATTATACCTTCTTCTCTCAACGTATCTAGAGATTTCAAGTACATTACCCCCCTTTCCATAGTAAGAAGCTCTTTATAAGTAATCACCTCCTGTTTTTGTTCTATACTTATATTTTTATTGCATGTCTAGGATTTGCCCATACAGGTATCTTGTAATTTAACTTATACTGATATTTTTTCCAAATCCTTAACAAAGCATTTCTTAATATATGAACCTTGAATACTTTATCCACTTTTTTATCATATAACAAATAAGCATGCCATCCATATAACAAATCATAACCTTCTACATTCAGAACTCTACCCTCAGTTAGATTAAACCAATCACTAATATGTGATAACACCGCTGCTTCATAATACAATCTTAAATTAGGCATTTTAAGACCCCCTCTTTCACGTATATCTTGTATAATTTTCATTTTTATTCTGGGTTTTTTCCCAGCCCAAATAAAAGTATTAACACCTTTCTGCCATACTTTTAGATTTTCGTCTTTCTTAAGCACAGGTATCATTTGAAATAAAAATAAGAATCTAGGTAAAACATTCATTTTAATTGCTGCAATTCTTCCCAATAAAGACAACTGTAGTTTTTTCCAATTTTCCATATCCTTCTGTACCTTCTGCCAAAGTACCTCATAATTGTTTTTATATAATTTTGCATTTGAAGCTGCTATATATACCCCTAAGTATTTAACCTTTTTAACTATTTCAAAGTCTGTCAATCTTACTAATTTATCTCTTTCCAGTATAGTCATATTTTTAACTATCATCTTTGTCTTATATGGATTAACTTTAAATCCTGATACTTTCCCATATTGATTGATTAAATTCAATATATGTGGAGCCGACTCTATAGGTTGGGATAAAGTAATAACCAGGTCATCTGCGAAAGCTCTTAATCTATAGTCTTGTTATCTAATTACAATACCCTTCACTTTTTCTGAATCACGTATCTTATTCAATAATATCTCCAAAGTCAAAATAAATAATAATGGAGACAGAGGACACCCCTGCCTTGTTCCTTTCTCAATTTTAAAAGCCTCTGTTAAACCTCCATTAACTATGATTTGTGCTGTTTGCTGCTGATATATCGCTCTAATTGATTGTATAAAATATTCCCCAAAGTGCATTTTCTCTATTATTTTAAACAAAAATTGCCAGTTCAAACGATCAAATGCCTTCTCTGCATCCAAAAATATAAACGCTGCAGGGACTTGATTATTTTTTTCCAAGTATTCCAGTAAATCTACGATTTGTCTAACATTATATCTCATTTGTCTCCCTTTTATAAACCCTGATTGATCATTGTGAATTATTTGTTGCATAACTGGCATTAATCTATTAGCTAATATTTTAGCAAAAATCTTATAATCAGTATTCAAGAGTGAGATTGGCCTAAAATTCTCAGGTTTAATGGAATTATGATCCTCCTTTGGGATTAGTGAAACAAAGGCTGTTTTCCAAGAAGGTGGTACTCCTCCTCCTAGTTGTATTTTATTAAATAAAATTTTAAGTGGTTCTAACATTTCAGATTGTAGATGTTTATAAAAAACAGCTGTTAATCCATCTGTTCCCGGAGCTTTACCTATTTTTAATTGTTTGATTGCCTCAACTATTTCCTCAGAAGTTATTGGCTGATTCAATCTCTCTCTCTGCTCCAACGTTAATTCAGGAATCTCCATCTTTAAATATCTATCAATATCACCATCTTGAATTAAGTCTTTAGCATATAACTTTGTATAAAACTCCAAAAAAGCCTTTTTTATTAAATTCTGTTGATAAATCTCTTTACCTCTAAATTCTATCTTATCTATGACACGTGATTTCTGTTTTTTCCTCATCGTATAAGCCAACCATCTCCCAGGTTTATTAGCATTACAAAATGTATTATGTCTAGCATATTGTATGCTAGTTGCTACTTGCCCAGCCATTAACATATTAAATTGCTCTCTTAAAATATTAATCATATCTTTTGCCTTTTTATCTCCCGGGTTATTTATAAGCAATTGTTCTTTCTTTTTAATTTCCTCCTCTATCTCTTTTCGTCTATTTTGTTGTTTTAATCTATATTTATTATTCAAAAAAATTAATGTTCCCCTCATATACGCCTTACACGCATCCCATACCATCTCCATCGAGGTTCCTTTATTCATATTATTAATAAAAAATTCTTTCAATTGTTTTTTAAGCTCAAAGAGATTATCTTCATATCTAAATAAGTTCTCGTTTAGCCTCCAAGACCTCCTTTCCCCTCTTTCCTGCTCTAGTTCCACCCAAACCGGACTATGATCAGTTAATGTTCTTGGACATATCTTCGTACTCTTCACCCTAGAAAAAAGATCATTTGTAGTTAATATAAAATCAATCCTAGAAAAGGATTGATGCCTATCTGAAAAAAAAGTAAAATCACTCTCCAACGCATTCCTTTCTCTCCATATATCTCTGAGTTCGATATCCTCCAAAATATTAAAAAAGATTTAGGCAACTTGGCACGCATGGTGGTCTTGGAAAGACTTTTTTTATCCTTCTGGGTATTTAATACCCCATTCCAATCACCCATTAAAAGTAAAGATCTGTAATCCCATTGTAAAATTTTGGTATGTAAAAGTTTGTAAAATTTTTCTTGTTGTTGATTAGGTGCATATACTCCAACTACTAGCATCTTCCCATTCTGTGTTATTAATTCAATTGCAATATATCTACCTTGAGTATCAGCCTCAATTAAATTAGCCACTAGGCCTCTTTTAACATATATAACTAGGCCATTTTTCTTTTCTGGTGCTGAAGCCACAAAATGTATACCTAATTTCGAATTTATCAAATACTTTTGATCTGAAGATTTAATATGGGTTTCTTGCAAACAAATAACATCGTTCTGAAATTGTTTCAAGTAATGAAATATTTTCTTTCTTTTTTGTGGAGAATTTAAACCATTGACATTCCAGGATAAAAATTTATTTGCCATCTCTGGGCATTCCAAGCTTTGAGAGCATCAGCTGAACCTCCTCCGCCATCTTAGATTTCGGCCTAGCTCCTCCCACTGCTTGTGTTTTTTGGACTTGTTGAGTTGGATCTTGAGGTTGTTGTGCCAAATGTTGTTTGTAAGTAGCTCTTGTAATTCGTTGATCTTCTGGCAGTTGTATCTTCGTTAGTGCCTCAAGGGTTGGTGGTTGACCCCCACTCAGTAATGGATCTTCCAAGTTAGCTCCTCCAGCTAGTGCTTGTGCATAGGTTTGTAGTTGTGCTCCACCTTTCTCTTGCTGCGTAACTTCCAGTTGCTTTCCAGCACCCCCTGGTGAGGGTGGCCTTCCAGCCTTTAAAATATTAGCATAAAAGTCTTTTGCCTTTCCAACTGTGTTTAAACGATGCCTTTGCCCAGCATATGTCACTATTATCTTTTCTCTGGAGGACCATTTAATCCAGAGCCTTTTAATTCCAGAAGTCCAAGTTTAAAGAATGGACTTCTGGAATTAAAGCTCCATTTTTTAGCTAAAACTTAATTCACACCTGTTAGTTTTGCTTGAGCAGTGTGAACAATTGACAGTGTGAAAGCAGGGGTGGGTTCTAAATTTTTTTTACTACCGGTTCTGTGGGCGTGGCTTATTTTGTGGGCGTGGTCATGTGACTGGGTGGGCGTGGCTTGTGGTCATGTGACCAGGTGGCCATGGCTCTGTGTATAGGGACTACTCAGAGAGCTGAAAAAAGTCATTTCTGACAGGTCCTCACACTTTTGACCAGTCTTCTCGCTTATGACTGGTCATCATTTATGCCCATTGTAGCATTCTTAATAACCATGTCACTCATTTCACAACTGCTTCTCTTCACCATGGTGACAAGATAGGGCAAAAACGTAAAATGTGAGGACAGTCGTAAGTTCGAGGACTGGTCAAAAGTGTGAGGACCAGTGAAAAATAACTTTTTCAGCCCTCTGAGTAGTCCATATGCACAAAAGGACTACCCAGAGGGCTGAAAAAAGTGATTTCTGACAGGTCCTCGCACTTTTGACCAATCTTCGCACTTATGATTGGTCATCATTTATGCCCATTGTAGCATTCTTAACAACCGTGTCACTCATTTCACAACTGCTTCTCTTCACTATGGTGACAAGATAGGGCAAAAACATAACATGTAAGGACAGTTGTAAGTTCGAGGACTGGTCAAAAGTGCAAGGACCAGTCAAAAATAACTTTTTCAGCCCTCTGATTAGTCCATATGCACAAAAGAATACAGCAATAGAGAGGGATGAAGGAAGGAGAAGAGAGAGGGATGAAGGAAGGATTGCTGTACAATAAAAAAGATGAAATGGAAGAAAGGCAACCCCAAACAAATATAAAGATATTAAGATAAAGAATGAATTGTTAAACTTTAAAGAATAAAAGAGAACAAATATGAATAAATAGCAATAATTAGAAACACACATACAAACATACAATGTATTTTCTTTGAACAGAGTGTTTGGCCGGTTCACAAATTTAAACAGTGTTTAGTCATTTCAATTAAATTTACAATTTCTATATTTCCTTTTTGCCATATTTATTCCTCATCTATTTTTTAAAAAACCAATATTACCCTTCATCCTCATCTCTAATCTTAACCAAATTCAATTTTTCCCTTCTATTCTATATTATACCCCTTCCCATTATCATCTATTTTTATCTCCATCCTCACATTGGTTAATTATGTAATATTACATTGGATAGACAGAATATTCCTATAGTCACAGAGGAACAAAGAGAACGGTTGAACCAATTAATAACAGAGGAGGAGATCCTCTCAGCAATTAAACAGTTAAAAACTGGCAAGGCTCCTGGAACGGATGGATTAACATCTGTGTATTATAAATATTTACAATTGGAGATGGTTGTACCTCTTAAAGAATTATTTAATAGAATTCAGTTGGGTGAAGGGGCACCACCTTCATGGAAAACAGCTGTTATTTCGTTAATTCCAAAAGAAGATCAAGATATGACATATCCCAAGAACTATAGACCCATATCATTATTGAATACAGATTATAAAATATTTGCTAAGATATTGGCAAATAGTTTAATGTTAGTAATGCAAAAAATGATTCATGTTGACCAAACTGGTTTTATACAAGGTAGACAAATGAAAAATAATGTAAGACAAATTGTTGACATATTGGAATATTTGGAAAGGAATAACCAAATCCCTGCGGTGCTTATATTTTTGGATGCGGAAAAAGCTTTTGATCGATTGGATTGGCAATTTTTATTGAGAGTGGTTAAGAGGATGCAATTTGGGAATTGCTTTATGCAGTCCATAAAAGCAATATATCAGGAAGAGACAGCTCAGATAATTGTTAATGGCAGTTTGACAGAAACTTTCAAAATTGAAAAAGGTACGAGGCAGGGATGTCCTTTATCGCCATTATTATTTATATTAACTTCAGAGTTGTTGTTAAACAAAATACGTAACATAGATGAGATAGAGGGAATTAAAGTTAGAGACTATGAATATAAGGTACGGGCATTTGCAGATGATTTGGTTATGACCTTCACTCATCCAGTGGAATCAGCAAAGGTTTTGATGGATATAATGAAACAGTATGGTCAAGTCTCTGGGTTTAAGATAAACATTGGAAAGACAAAGATGATAGTTAAAAATATGACAACAAATCAAAAAGAGGAGTTACAAAGGGTAACGGGATGTGAAATAGTCAAAAAAGTTAAATACCTAGGAGTTTATATTGCATCTTCTAATGGTAAATTGTATAAGTATAATTATGAATCGATATGGCATAAAATACAAGCTGAAATGGATAAATGGAAAAAATTACAACTGTCCTTGTTAGGTAGAATAGCAGCTATAAAAATGAATGTTTTACTTAGGTTTTTATTCCTCTTTCAAATGATACCAATACTAAAAAAGGATGCCAACCTGGAAGAATGGCAGAAAGGTATTAATAAATTTGTATGGCAAGGTAAGAAACCAAGGATAAAATTGAAAATAATGCAGGATACACGAGAAAGAGGAGGATTGAAAATGCCAAATTTAAAACTGTATTATGAAGCAGCTGTTTTATCAGCAATTAGTGATTGGATTAATTTAACAAATGGAAGGATATTGAATATTGAAGGGCATGATTTGGTTTATGGTTGGCATGCTTATTTAGTGTATGAAAAAAGGGTGGATAGAGCATTTAAGAGTCATATACTGAGAAATGCCTTATTGCGGGTCTGGAAGAAATATCAATATAAGTTAAATGAAAAGATACCTATATGGACAGCACCCAGGCACGCAATAGAGAACACGAGCATAGAAAGTAGACATGATGTAATTATATATATAGATATTCTCAATATGCAGGGAGGTATATTAAAATTAAAACCTGTGAATGTGTTGAAAGAGGAGAAAATAATTCAAACTTGGTTTCAATATGTACAAGCCAGATGGAGAAAAGACCAGAAAATTTGTTTTATACAAAGTGATGAAAATTTAATTAAACAAATTAGAGACCAAAGTCCAATGCATATAAAAAGATTGTATAATATACTGATAGAGATGGACTCGGAAACAGAGCTAGTTAAGGACTGTATGATAAAATGGGCGCAGAATTTTGAACAGCCAATAATGGTGATGGAAACTTGGGAAAAAATATGGGTGACAAATGTGAAATTTACTAAAGCGCAAAATTTAAGGGAGAACTTTTATAAAATGTTTTATAGATGGCATCTAGATCCAAAAAAGTTATCTCGTATGTATCCGAATGTACAACCAAAATGTTGGGGATGTTATTGTGAGGATGCCACTTATTTCCATATTTGGTGGACATGTAAAAAGGCTAAAGCGTTTTGGATAAAAATTTGGTGGATTTTACAAAATATTCTTAAAAAGAGGTTGAAATTTACGCCACAGCTGTTTCTGCTGGATATAGTTACGGCTTCCGTGAGTCATATCGTCACCACTACCAGCTCGGCGGAACTGGGCCCAACCGGGAGGAACCCACCACCGCTGCAGATCCTCTCCACCTCTTCCTGGATTAGCGGAGGGCTTCCTGTCACTTCCCATCGGATTGGGGGGTTTCTGTGACCCCCAAGTCATCCCTGGCTGTGGGGTGCACCTCCCCTCTTCTCATCCAGTGCCACCCAATCCCCAAACTCTTCCTCCGGCAGAAATCTTCCTCTGTGAAAGGAGGAGCATCCGTCTCGGCCAGATGCTTCCAGGCCCAGAAGAGGAAGGGGGGGTCTGAATTGGGGGGAGGAAGCGTTGATCTCGGACTTTGGAGGTGGGAAGGGCCAGAACCAGCAGCAGCACCAATGGGAATTCTCCCTGCTTGAGCGTCATCGGTCTCCGGGCAGAGTCCTTGGGGGCTTCACCTGAAGGAGGAGAGCCAGTTCTGCAGAGAGAGAGAGAAGCGGAGAAAGTGGGAGGGGGATCTTGGCCTGAAGAACCGAGCGGAACTCTCTCCTGCATTGGGTGAAGTCAAGGGAAACTTTGCCCGGAGACTGATGATGCTAAAGGAGGGAGAATTCCCATTGGTCCCCCTGTTCTTTCTGGACACTCCCAATTCCGAAGTTGGAGGCAGCCCCATTCTGGGCCAGGCAGCCTTTCTGCGGTCCCTTCGCTTTGCGGAGAGAGGGAACCGGTGGGAAATTCCACTGCCTGAGCCAAAAGGGTCTACGGCAGGGGTGAAATGCTCCCGGTTTGGACCGGATTGCCTGATCTGGTAGTGATGGAGGCGGGTGGTTCGGGTGGTGCCCCCCCTCCACATGCCCAACTGAACCATGCGATCCTCAGAGGCTTTTTTTCTTTTAAATGCCTCTGACGATCCAAGCTGAGTTGCCTGATCCTCAGAGGCATTTAAAAGAAAAAAAGCCTCTGACTATCAGGTAACTCAGCTGGGATCATCAGAGCCTTTTGAAAGGATTTTTTACAACCACTTCGCCGAAGAGGTTGTAGAAAAAATGGTTTTAAAAGTTTTTTAAAAATCGCCACGCCCACCCAATCACATTACCCCACCACCACCAAGCCACGCCCACAGAACCGGTAGTAACAAATTTTAGATTTCACCCCTGGTCTACGGGATCTTGAGAAGATCGTTTTCTCAGGGGTTGGGGGGGACCCTCAGGAGGGGAAGGGCCAGGCGGGGCCAGGCGAGGGAGGCCAGGAGGCGGGACCAGGTCGAGGCAATGTCAATAAGTTTGTGTTTTTAAAGCAGTCTATTTGTTTTCCAGTGGTTCCAGAGGAGCAGCCCGTCCTGTGGAAACGGGGACCGACGGAGGTATGTCGTATTTATTTCTTTAATTGTTTCTCAACACGTACCCAATGGGACCCAAACCCTGGAAGTCAAAATGGCTCTTTTGGGTGAGGGGGCCTGGATTAACCGGGCTTGAGGGTTTTTCCTGGGCTCAGGCCCAACGTCCTCATGGTCTCCGTTGCTTTTCAGCAGACGAATTCACGGGCCGGGAACCTGCCCCCTATCAAGGAAGGTCCTCCCCCTCAGCGGTCCTTTACCACCCGCCCCCCCAAGGTAAGCAGTCTAAATCTTCTGGGGCAGGGGTGGGTTCTAATTTTTTTTACTCCCGGTTCTGTGGGTGTGGCTTATTTTGTGGGTGTGGCTTGGTGGGGTTTAATGTGACTGGGTGGGCGTGGCCACCTTTTTTTTAACTTTTAAAAGCATTTTTTCTACAACCTTAAAAGGTTGCAGAAAAAAAAATGCTTTGAAAAGCCTCTGATGATCAGGCAACTCAGCTGGGATCGCCAGAGGCTTTTAAAGGCATTTTTTCCCCTACAACCTCTTCGGCTGAAGAGCTTGTAGGAAAACTGCTTTTCAAAGCCTCTGACGATATATATATTTCACGGCTGTTATTTTAACTTTTCCAGGCTCCTGCAACATCTGGGGGGCGACCGCTGAGGAATCCGAGGGAGAAAAGTGGCACGTAAGTCTACATTTTACCTAAAGAATATAAAATATAACATTTATTTTTTAAATGAATCCTTTGTTGAAACACCTTTGGATTTTATGAGAGCATCTAGTCTTTTGGCCTTAGAGCCGATCTTCCTTCAAAAGGGCTCCAAAATTGGAACATTGGGCGCTATCTAACAAAATGAAATTCAAGGGTGAAAAAAGTGAGGTTCTACATTTAGCCAAGAAAAACAAAATGCACAGGGACAGTATATGGGGCACCTCGCTCAACAGGAGTAACTCTCAGAGGGATCTTGGAGTCCTAGTGGACAACCGTTTAAACAGGAGCCAGGTGTGTGCAGCAGCTGCCAAAAAAGCCAACTCAGTTCCAGGCTGCATCAATCAAGACCACGTGAAGTGTTGATGCCACTTTTTAAGGCCTTGGTAAGGCCACACTTGGAATATTGCATCCAGTTTTGGTCTCCACGATGTAAAGAGGATGTGGAGACTCTAGAAAGAGTGCAGAGAAGAGCAACGAAGAAGATGAGGGGACTGGAGGCTAAAACATAGGAAGAACGGTTGCAGGAACTGGGTGTGTCTAGTTGAATGAAAAGAAGGACCAGGGGAGACATGACAGCAGTGTTCTCAGGGGCCGCCACAAACAAGAGGGAGCGAATCTATTCTCCAAAGCTCCCGAGGGCAGGACAAGAAGCAGAGGATGGAAACTGATCAAGGAGAGAAGCAACTTAGAACTAAGGAGAAATTTCCTGACAGTGAGAACAATCAACCAGTGGAACAACTTGTCTCCAGAAGTTGTGGCTGCTCCAACACCGGAAGTTTTTAAGAAGATGCGGGATAACCATTTCTCTGAAGTGGTGGAGGGTTTCCTGCCTGGACAGGGGGGTGGACCAGAAGACCTCCGAGGTCCCTTCCAACTCTGTTGCTGTTGTTGTTGTTGTTATAATTATAGTTATATGAAATTGTCAGACTTGGGAGGGGGTCTTCTGCTGTGCCCAGCTCTCTTCCGGTCCCCTTCTAAATCTCTGGATTAGATTCCGAGCCCGGATCATTCATTTGATCTTCTTGTAGTGAAGCCACTGTTGTGTGGTGTGTTCTGGGGCAATCTCTGTAGGGCGGAAGGCATGCAAACGCCAGTCTGTTCGAGGGAGTAGTTGTTTTATAATCTAACCTTTTTGCTTTCAGCCTTTTGTTCTTTGCAATTAACCTGTTTGTGCATTTCTACAACGTCCTGGGCTTTTCCTAATCTTTGTTTTTCTTTACTCTGCCTGTTTGGTGGTTCCTGTATCTTTGCCTGGGTTCTGGTGTGTTGTAAACGTTCCTTTTCTTCACCTGTCTGAGGTTTGGATGACCTCGGTTTCCCTCCTTTGGATGGTTGCTTTAGAGCCTTTTTCCTATTCTAATGTGCTTAGAGTTCTTAGTTGTTTGTATTTGGTTGCAGTTTGTTATCGATTTGGTTTCTAGTTCAGCTTTTAATGGTAACTGTGTCCCAATAGGGGTTCTTCAGATAATAAGATCTCAGAGCATTTCCCTTCCTACAATGCAATGAAGGGACTTGTTGGGCAATTCCGATGGTGGCTGAGGGCTAATCCTACCTTTGCTCAGAATATCCTGTCTTGAATGGATGACCAAATCTGTATTTGTAAAGGTTGGCCCCTTAGTTTCTACTGAAAGAAAGAGGTACTCGCCTTCTTTCCAAGCAGCCTTTGAGCTCAGAACTCAAAACCCCTTTAAAACCCTTGTTCCAAACGGCCAAGGTCTGGGAAAAATCCATCCACGGACCCAATGGGTCTGTGCCAGGAAGGGAGGCTTACCCGGGCCAGGTCCGTTGCTCAGGTGAGTTTGAAGTCCCATCTTGGGGAGCCAAACTGATGGAAGAAATATCCCTCTGGTTCAGTTCCAAGCTGGGAGAAAGACACTGGAAACATGGAGGCTGATTGGAAAGATGGTTTATTGATGGACAGGACGACATGGGTTTGAAGTCCTGGGCAGCTGAGCACATGGAGTGGAGAGTCAGGGGTATTGATACCTTCTCTTGGGCCTTGAACTTGAGCTTGCTGTTCCTGTGCAAGAACATGTATTCTATTGGCTGTTGTCAGACTCCCATGGAGCCATGTGCAAATCCGCGGAGTTTGTCTGAGATATGTTTGGTTGAAGCTTGGGCTGATGCAATGGCCTTAGGAGATTTTGCAATGCAGTGAGCTCTGAGGTTAGATAATCCTATTATGTCCTGGAGGGCCATGTCTTAATCCCAAAACCCTGGAGGGGAAGGTCTTTTGTCTTGTAGATAGGATGGCCCAGTCTCTCTTCATGGGCACCAAGTATCTGCTGGGGGCAGGGATTTCTATTTCTCTTTTAGGGGAAATATAATACTCTGCCTTTTTAATATTTCATTCTTCTGGGAGGGAGTGGCTTCCCACAATGGTTATAGCATTGTTTCCTGTAAGGAGAGATTTCTGATTGTTGCAGTAGAAATGGCAACACCGAATTTATGCACACACACAAACATAAAGGTATTTTAAAAATATTTTTCAATTGAAGAAAACGTTTGATGATTCTGGTAAAAATAATCAAGGGACTAATTTCTCTCCGGTTCTCGTTTTTACAGCAAAACTCCGAAGGAGGAGCTCCCGCACAAATCTCCCCAGCGTCAGACCACCAATGCAGAACTCTGCAGGCAGCTGGAGGAGAGCCACAGGAGGTGAGAAAGGGCCAGGTATTTTTAGGGAGTCTTAATTCTAAGCAGGTTGGATGGTTGGGGTGAAAACCTGAGGGGGCTAATTTTGCTCTTGTCTTCGTCTCTTACAGAATCGAAACTTTGGAACAACAGTTGCAGTTGGAGAAAGACGAGTATAAGAGCCTCCTCTGCAGAGTTCTGCAGCACGCTGGGGAGAAAAGGGAGCTCCTCACGGAGATTAAAACCCTCCAAGAACAGCTGGAGAGGTGAGAAATATTCAGAAGGGAATCCTTCCTTCCTTGCTTCCTTCCATCTCTCCTATCTATCTATCTATCTATCTATCTATCTATCTATCTATCTATCTATCTATCTATCTATCATCAATCATGAGAGGCCTAATTTCTGCTTTTCTTAATTTACAGGAATTCAAAAACATTTCAACAAATGGCGGAGGAGCGAGTTCAATTAAAAAAAGAAAATCAAGAATTAAAATTGAAGAACTGGAAGTTGAGCGAGGAGAAGGCGACCATCCTGCGGAATTTCAGGGAGAGGCTGAGGAGGTGAGAAACACGTAGAGAGCAGCCCTGACTGAGGGAGGGAGAGGACCAGGATTCCCTGAAGCAGCTTGGTTGAAGCAGGATTCCAGGGTGAAGAACCTGCCCTATAAGGGATGGAGGGAGAGAGGACAATTAGAACGGGGAGGCCACATTTGACCACTTATGACAAAATCTCCCTTTCTCCTTCTTCCAGAGGCAGAGACTGAAGAGGGTGGAAGATCAGGAAGATCCTCTTCCTCCCCCTCCCCCTCCCCCCTTCCTTTCCCTCCTCCCCTCCTCCCTCCTTCCCATCCCCCTCCCCTTCCCCATTCTCCACCCCCCTCCCCCCCTCCCTCTCCTCCCCCTCCCTTTCCCATATATCCCTCTTCCCCTCCTCCTGCCCCTTTTCTCTCTCCCCATCCCCCTCCTCCTCCTCCCCCCTCCCTCTCCTCCCCTTCCCCTCCTTCCCCTCCCTCACCCCTTCCTCACCATCCTTTGCCTCCCTGAAAACATCCAGCCCTCCCTGGAAAGAGTAGGACAAGGGAATACCATCGTCTCCTCGCTCAACTTCCCTAGATTGTGATTGATTTTGATTGTGATTGATTGATTTTATTTTTATTTTAGTTATTATCAGTTATTGTTATATTACAGTTATATTTTACAGTTATTATCAGTTATTGTTATATTACAGTTATATTTTACAGTTATTATCAGTTGTTGTTATATTACAGGTATATTTTATAGTTATTATCATTAATAAAAATTATTATTGTTATCATCATCATTATTGTCATTGTCGTCATTTCAACCGTCGTGGATATGACCAGGCTTGACAAGTGTGCAGTAGGAGGCCCCGAACCCTGGGACGGCTGTCGTGGTAGGAGAGGTCTGTCCTGACCCTTCCCTGTCCCCACGGTAGATCCCCTCATGTGGACGTCTGGATGGAGATGTCCATCCTGTCAGCTGCATCCAGAGGAGCCAAAGGGAGTGGTCCTTCCTCCCACAACCGTCCCTGGGAACAGGGGCTCCTCCAGTAGAGAGCACGTCCAGCAAGGCCTCTGAAGGGCCAAGTGGATTCTCTTAGTTGTCAGGGAGGTTGTGGCCAAGTGTGCGATTGTGCAGGCGCTGGGGATCCTTACTGACCATTTGTACGGCAAATAGACACCATGGTATATTAAAGTCACTGATAGAGAAGCTCCTTTAAGAAAATTGCTCATGTTATTCTTATATCATCATGAATAGAAAGAATAAAAATCCTCTTTTTTCCCCCAATTTAATCTTCTTTGTCTCCACAAGTTGACTGAGTCTCAAGCCAACATTGATCCAAAACCAGAGGCACATGATAGTTACCCATCACCTTGACATTTTAATGAGAGCGGAGAAGGTGGGAGGGAGATAGTTCTCCACCAGAGTTAAGCGTCACAAACAAACCATTATTTGTAGAAGGACTAATATTTATCTGGCCACGAAAGGGGATTCAGAATAATTCAATCACTAAAACAGAACGATCATAAAAGGAAGAGGATTCTTTTAATGTGAGAAACATTTACCGAGTCTTTAAAGAAACGACTTTGTTTCTATAAGGATCAGGAGTTGGGTATCCATGAGAGCTTATAAAAATAGGGAGCTGGTCTTTGCAGGGGCCACTACAACCGTTTCAATCGCTACTTTAAACGACAGTTAGCATTCAAGTGATGAACTCAAGTTTGGATGGAGAGAGGGAAATCATCTGGAGTTCTTACGGTTTCTGTTCCGTCCCATCTTTGGATTTCAGCGACTTCCACAAAATAAGACGAAAAGAGAGAAGCTTTGGAAATCCAGGCCATTCAGGAAATTAGACAGGTCCTATAATATAGGAGTAAGTGAAGTAAAAAGAAAAGAAGGAAAGTGTTAGGAATGCAAAGAGAGGAAAGGAAACTCCAGCACAGGGAATGACTTAAGAAGGAAACTGACAAGGAGGAGCCTGGTTGGAAGTCCTTGTTGTATGCAATCTTCTTTTTCACCTGAGGATTATTCCCCTTGGTTTACTAAATAAATCAGTCTTTTACAACAAAGGCTGTTAATTAATTGCATTAACAGCCGCCAAGAATTCAAAGAATAATAACTGAAAGCTTACTATGACTGGCAGAATGCCCAGAAACAATTTGCAGGAAGCTGATAAGATAAGCAAGACAAGACAGGAGGGTATGTGAATGAAGTTGTTCCCTGCAAATTGCTTCAGTCGGCGTTCCTCCTTAAATAGGCTAAGGGAGTGGCCAATTAGCCCCAAGCCTTACTCTCGAGGAGACCTCCTCCTGAGGAGCCACTCCTGCCTTTTGGCAGCTCTGCACCAGTGCATCAGGAAGAGGCTCCTCCTCTTCGTCCTCTTCACTTAAGGGAGCTTCTGAAGGCTCTGGCTGAATCCCTGCCTCTGGCACCACATCTCTGGCACCACATCTTCTCCAGCCTCCTCACTGTCCGACTCGAGAGCCAGCTGCACAGGCTGCTGGCGCAGCACCGCACCAGCCTCCTCGCTGTCTGAATCAGCTACTAGCTGCACAGGCCGCGTACGGGCCACAACAGCTGGATCACTCTCAGCCCAAAATTTCAAGCTCAGGGAACAAGCTAGCCGGTCAATTCTGGTTTGTCAATCAATTCCTATTGCAATCAATGAGCAATCAACTCAGGGGTGCAATTCAGCGGGTTCTGACAGGTTCTGGAGAACCGGTAGCGGAAATATTGAGTAGTTTGGACAACGGGCAAATACCACCTTTGGCTGGTAATGGGGATTTTGCAGTATCTTTTCTCCAGGAGTGGGGAGGAAATGGAGATTTTGCAGTATCCTTCCCCTGCCACGCCCACCAAGCCACGCCCACCAAGCCACTGCACACCTACCAAGCCTCGCCCACAGAACCGGTAGTAAAAAATTTCAATTTGACCACTGAATCAACTGGGTACCAATCAGAAAGAAAGAAAGAAAGAAAGAAAGAAAGAAAGAAAGAAAGAAAGAAAGAAAGAAAGAAAGAAAGAAAGAAAGAAAGAAAGAAAGAAAGAAAGAAAGAAAGAAAGAAAGAAAGAGCGAGAGAGAGGGAGGGAGGGAGGGAGGGAGGGAGATTCTGGCACAATCGGGGTTGATATTGGAAGGGGCTGACTCGTCCAGAAGGGGGATCCTGACCCACAGAAAGAAGGAAGGAAGGAAGGAAGGAAGGAAGGAAGGAAGAAAGAAAGAAAGAAAGAAAGAAAGAAAGAAAGAAAGAAAGAAAGAAAGAAAGAAAGAAAGAAAGAAAGAAAGAAAGAAAGAAAGAGGGAGGGAAATTCTGCCACAATCGGGGTTGAAATCAGAAGGGGCAGACTCGTCCAGACGTTCTGAGCGAGAGAGAGAGAGACGCGTGTTTGAAGGAAGGAAACTTGTTTTTTCTCCCGTAAAGCGAAGCGGCACCTTTCCCGAGAGAGCCGAGCGGAGGATTCCCCCGGGAAGTGGGTGGGAGGAGGGGGAGCTTTGGGGGGGGGGAGAGTCCTTGGGGGCTTCACCTGGAGGAGGAGGGAGTTCGTCGCAGAGAGAGAAGCGGGGAAATGGGTATTGGGGGGAGCTGCAGCTCAAGGGGGGGTTCATGGCGGGACCCTCCCCTTCCTTTGCTCTCTTCAGACTCTCAGCCAGGGATTCCCGCTCCCCCCTCCTTCTCCCCCCCCGAGATTCCCCACAGCGATGCCTGAACCCAAAACCGAGCTCGCTCAGAGACCCCCAAGTCCCCGCCGGCTCTGGGGCTGCGTCCCCGCTTCGGTCATCCTCTGCAGCCCCACTGCACGCCTGATCGGGTGGGGGGAGGGGCAAAGGAAGCCCACCCTCCCCTGCAGGGCTGGCATGAGCCCCCCTTGAGCTGCGCCCCCCCCCAAGACTGAAAAGATTCCCCCTCCCTCCGCTTCTCTCTCTGCGCCCGACTCGCCCCTCCAGCAGGTGAAGTCAACGGAGACTCTGCCCGGAGACCGATGACGCTGAAGAAGGGAGGATTCTCATTGGCCCTTCCGCTTATCTGGGCACTCCCTATTCCAAAGTTTGAGGAAAACGCTTCCTCCCCCCCTCCAGACCCAGCGATTCTGCCTCTGGCGCTGAGTGGCCCGTATAGGCTGCTTGCTCCTTTCCTTCGGCCTTTCTCTGCCCATCCGGCGTTTCTCAGGCATTGCGTCGTCTGAAGCCCCATTCCAGGCTCTGCAGCCTTTCTGCGATTCCTTCGCTTTGTGGAAAGAGGGAATCAGCGAGGAATTCCACCGCCTGAGCCAAAATGGTCCACGGGATCCTTTCCTTTCCCTTTCTGACCTATTTCTATCTTCCTTTCCTTTCCTTTCCTTTCCTTTCCTTTCCTTTCCTTTCCTTTCCTTTCCTTTTCCCCTTTACTCCATCCTTCTCCTTTCCCTTTCCCTTTTCTTTATTACCTTTATTTTCTATTTTATGCCATGATAATCTTAATAATAATAATAATAATAAAACGAGCCTTTTGTTTTAGGAGCGCTTCTTGTTGCACAGCCTCAATATGGAAATTCCTGGGGCGAAAAAACCTCATCCCAATTCCACTCTCCATCTGCCCTTTTCTACTGGCAAAGTGTCTTCCTGACCCACAGAAAGAGGGGCGGTTCCTTCCCATTTGGGGGTGAGGGGCGGAGAATCGGAAGGAACCCGGGTCCTCCAGTCATGCCGAGCAAGAGAGACGCGACTTTCAAGGAAGGAAACGGTTTTTTCTCCCGTAAAGCGAAGCGGCGCCTTTCCCGAGAGAGCCGAGCGGAGGATTTCCCCGGGAAAGGGGGGAGAGCCTGCAGATCCCCTCCGCCTCTTCCTGAGTTAGCTTCCCTTCGGATTGGGGGGTGTCTGTGTCCCCCAAGTCCTGGCTGGCTGCGGGGCTTCCCCTCCCCCCTTGGCATCCCGTGCAGGAACTCTCCCTTGGCAGCATCTTCACCTGGGGAATGAAATGGGCGTCTGGGTCAGAGGCTTCCAGCCAGGGGTGGAATGGGAATTTGGAGCAGTTTGGAGAACCGGCAAATTCCACCTCTGCCTGGCCCCAGAGTGGGGAGGGAATGGGGATTTTGCAATATCCTTCTCCTGGTGTGAGGTAGGAATGGAGATTTTGCAGTATCCTTCCCCGCCACGCCCACCAAGCCACACCCAGAGAACCGGGGAAAAATTTTGAATTTCACCACTGTTTCCAGCCCCAGAGGAGGAATCCCCGGTTCTGCATTTGGGGGGGAGGAAGCGTTGATCTTGGACTTTGGGGGTAGGAAGGGCCAGAAGAAGCGGCAGCACCAATGGGAATTCTCCCTGCTTGAGCGTCATCGGTCTCCGGGCAGAGTCCTTGGTGGCTTCACCTGAAGGAGGAGAGAGAGAAGCGGAGAAAGTGGGAGGGGGGATCTTGGCCTGAGGAACCGCATGGAACTCTCTCCTGCATTGGGTGAAGTCAAGGGAAAGTCTGCCCGGAGACCGATGACGCTGAAGCAGGGAGAATTCCCATTGGTCCCCCTGTTCCTTCTGGATCCTCCCAATTCCGAAGTTTGAGGCAGCCCCATTCTGGGCCAGGCAGCCTTTCTGCGATCCCTTCGCTTTGCGGAGAGAGGGACCCGGTGGGAAGTTCCATTGCCTGAGCCACAAGGATCTACGGGATCTTGAGACAGATCGTTTTCTCAAGGGGGGGTGAGGGGGGCTCCACTTTTAAAAGTCTGTGGGAAACTGCATAGCAATAATAGCCTGCCCTCTCGGGGCCACTTGGAGTTTAAGGTAAGTAAAAAGAATGGGGGTACAGAAGGGGGAAAGGGGAGATGGAGTTGGGCTCCGAACCCTCTTATCTCACTGGAGGCAAAACGGGGTGCAAAGCCCATCAAGGTAAATGAAACCCTTTGCTTTAAAAGTCTTATGGAATGGAAATGGCCTGCCACCTGCTGGCCACCTGGAATATGGCAGGTGATGTAAAGAAACAGATATGATAATAAAAAAAGCTGTAAGCATAGCATGGCTAATTATGAGAAATGCTGCGTGATATTCTTTCCTGATGCTCCATCAAGTCCTTGTGTATGTTGAGACCTTATCAAACTAAGAGACTGAGCAGAAGAGATCTCAAAAACACAGAGAGTGACAATTATGGGGAGAAGCAACTTCTCCGTTTGGGATCCTGAGCTTCGTCTGGGAGAAGAGAGGCTGGAGAAAAGCATGGGAGCGAAAGTCACAGATAAACTGCTGGGGACTCTGTTCTACGGTAGTTGTGGTCCTTCCTGCCAGGACACTTTAATGTCAGCATTCCGAGTAATTCATCTGCCAAAAGCAGAACTCCAAGGCAGGTAGCTTCCTCAAAGAACATGTTTATTGGATACATCCTTTCGGCACAGCCAGTGAAAACCAACTCTAAATGTTGCTGGGGATTTTTGCCTAATTAAAGGAACAAATGTTTCCCTCCCCAGATGCCACCGGTCACATTGTCCAATGTAAGTAGCTGGCAGGCTGCTTGGTCACTCCTCCCCTCCTTCAACTGCCACCGGTTAGAATGACCTTGGTTCCCACAAGAAAACTTTTTGTTTTGACTGCAGTCAGTCGATCTACTTCCCCTTCCCTTCCCCCTTTCAGAGTTCATGGCAACTATGAGGCAGCCAAAGATGGCTTCAGCCAGGCTCGCTTCAGAGTTGACACGCAGCTTCCGAGATCTGCAAGTGGGCATCACACACCATCTAGAGCAGTAGCTCTCAACCTTCCTAATGCTACGACCCTTTAATATAGTTCCTCATGTTGTGGTGACCTCCAACAATAAAATTATTCCTAAAACCATTGAAAATATGTGTTTTCTGATGGTCTTAGGCGACCCCTGTGAAAGGGTCGTTTGACCCCCAAAGGGGTCCCGACCCACAGGTTGAGAACCATTGATCTAGAGGCTACCATGTGAGGACAAGTCATGCATTGCAAAGTCTGCTTGCAGCTGGGAGACACTTCTAATTAATCTACCGGATCCGCTGCATGAATTGCCCGTGACGTAGGAGAGACAGGGAGGAAGCTAACCACCAAAATTGCAAGTACACCAAGGAAGCAGTCAGATGAGGAGACCTGAACTCAATGGTAGCCTCACTTTGCAATGAATGAGAACATGCATTCAATTCCGCAGCAACTAAGATTGTTGGTGGAGTAAGTACAAAAATAGCCAGGGAAATGATTGAAGCCTGGGAAATGGGCGCTTTGTCAGTCAACAGGAGTGCTGATTTACCACCAATTTATCAGGTACTTAGGAACTAAGGAATCAGCAGCCAACGACTTAATAGTTGGCCATCAACACCCGAATCAACCAATGAAAAGCCACATGCAACCAGGCATCACATAAATACTATGAATGGGAGAGGCCAGAGCAGAGATTCAGGTAGCGAGACGTTCCCTGAGGATGAGTTAACCCTCGGAAGGAAACTCGGAAACTCTGATCCCGGTGATCGACCCAGATTGGATCCTGCAATCTGAAATCTTTTAGGGATGGGAAATACGACCATAAGTAGAATACTGTGGAAGTGTCCAGGGTCAGCTCAAGTCCATGAAAATTTACTCATTTCTCACTTTTACTCTTTCTAATATACCCCATAAATGGTTGAAACATCGTTTTCTTAAGGAGAAACTGCTGATGGTTACAGCAGAAATACAAAAACTGAATTGCTAAACACACAGACACAAAACACACAGTTATGTTTCATATTTTTTTAATTTAAGAAAAAGTTTCACGTTTCAAGAGAAAAAAGCAAGGAGGCCAATTTCTCTCTATGCTTCCTAATTTACAGGAAGACCATGGAAATTTCAAGGCTGAGGTCAGAAAAAGACGAGCTCTCCAGCTGAAGAACAAGGAGCTTACGATGAACAATGTCCAACTCATTGCAGAAAAGGAGGAGCTCTGCAAAGGTTTGGAAGAGAAACTGAGCAAGGGAGCAATTTAAAATGAAGATTAACAACAGCAGAGATGCAAGCCCATCCTCCCTTGCCCAGAATATCTTCTCCTCCACCATTGGCCCTTTGCCTTGCTTTTTGGGTGAACTGGGAGGGTGGGGGGTGGAGAGGATGAAGGGCAGCAGGAAGTCTCCCTTCTAGAGGAAGCCCAGAGATGTCCTCACCCACCCCAAAACCTATCTCCCTCCCTTTCCCGTATATCTCTCTTCCCCTCCTCCTGCCCCTTCTCTCCCACTCCGTCCCCGTCCCCCTCCTCCCCCCTTTGCCCTCCTCCCTTCCCCCTCCCCACCCCTTCGTCATCATCCTCTGCCTCAGCAACATCCAGCCCTCCCTGAAAAGAGCAGGAGAAGTGCAGAATAACATCGTCTCCTTGCTCAACTTCTACACAAAAGAGAGGTCAACAACGTCGTTGTATTGTTGTATTGTTGCATTGTTGCATTGTTGCATTGTTGTTTATATGTTTGTTTCTATTTCTTTTTAATCAATAAAAAATTTTAAAAATTAAAAAAAAAGTAAAAACTGGAAAAGTCTGGCTCTAAGAGGCTCATGATCATCTGAAGCGTAAAAAAACTCACACAGCCTGTAATTCCCTGAGTAATGGCCGAATCAGATACCTCTAGATGGCAGGACCCAACTTTCCTTCCCAATATAAATGGACCTTCTGTGCAGCACAAGATTCCAAGAGTCTTTCAAAGGAAGGTCAAACTGGCCTTGAACTGAGCCGCTCCCTGCTCACCCACCCCAAAACCTATCTTCCGATTTCCCGAATGAAAATGTTCATGCTAGGACTTTCCCTTCTAGGTGCCAATCATTATTATAATATGACAGGCAGCTTTCTCAGCACATGTCATAAGACGTTGGCTGGGCTGTCCTGGCTCATTCTCAACTGCTACACTGAAGAAATGGCTGGAAACTTTTTTTATAGACTCAACAAAAAAGTCCAGCGGAGAAACAGAGGTAGGAGGCAATTAAAAGACAGAGGTATTATCTACTTAAGTTTAGCAGCAAGTGTGAAGAGATTAGATGCCAGAAATATCAGCTGGCACCTAAGATTTGAGAATAAAGAACCCAGATGGTGTAAGAATGATTGTCAATAAGTTTGTGTTTTTAAAGAAGTCTATTTTTTTTCTAGTGGTACCAGAAGAACAGCTGGACTTTGGCCTCTGGAGACACACGGAGGTATGTACTATATAGTTACAGCCAATATATGGGACCCAGACCATGAAAGTAAACATGGCTCTTTCAGATGAGGGGGCCTGGATTAACTGGGTTTGAGGGTTTTCCCTGTGCTCAGGCCCAACTTCCTTACGATCTCCATGGCTTTTCAGCAGAAGACTTCATGGGCCGGCCAGTTGCTCCCAATATATGAAGGTCCTCTCCCTCAGCGGTCCATCACCCCCCCCCATACCCCTCATGTAAGCAGTCTAAATCTTCTGGGGAATGTTTTGAGTGTCCATTACTAAGTATGACAAATTTTCATATGATCATTTTATTAAGTGAAGGAATCAGGCTGAGAGATCAATTCTCTCCCATAACAAATAACCTTTTCTTTTAACCAGGAGAGGCTAGCTGCAGGGAGCTGGAGGAGAGGCAGAGGAGGTGAGAAAGGGCCAGGTATTTTGAGGGAGTTTTCATTTTAAACAAGTTGGATGGTTGGAGTGAAAACCTGAGGAGGCTAATTTCGCTCTTGTCTTCCTCTTTTACAGAATAAATATTTTGGAACAACAGCTGCAGTTCGAGAGAGAGGAGTACAAGAGCCTCCTCTGCAGAGTTCTGCAGCACGCTGGGGAGAAAAGGGAGCTCCTCACGGAGATTAAAACTCTCCAAGAACAGCTGGAGAGGTGAGAAATATTTAGAAGGGAATCCTTCCTTCCTTGCTTCCATGAATCGATGCGTTGGAGGAAGAGGTAGAACGAGAAAGAGGAATATAAAAGCTTCCTCTGTAGAGTTCTGCAACAAGCTGGCAAGAAACAGGAGCTCCTCACGGAAAACAAAAGACTGAAGGAACAACTGGACAGCTGAGAAATATTTAGTATCACCTATCATGAGAGGGCTAATTTCTGTCTGCTCATAATTTACAGAAATGCAATGTTATTTGAGGAGATGGTGCAGGAAAGAGGGCAGCTAAAAGAAGAACTAAAGGCCTTAAAATCAAAAACTTGAAGTTGAGCGAGGAGAAGGCGACCCAAATTTACACCATGGTATATTAAAGTCACTAACAGAGAAGCTCCTTTACAAAAAATGCTCATGTTATTATTGTATCATCATGAATAGAAAGAACAAAATCCTCTTTTTTGTCCCAATTTAATCTTCAAATAACCTTTTCTTTTAACCAGGAGAGGCTACACCTGAGAATTCGTTTCATGTCGTAAGGAGGGTGGGTGAGCTGATTTAAATAGAAGGGAATATGCTGATCTATGCTGGTGCATCTATGCTCCCCTCCTTTCCCTCCTCACCAAGGAGAAATGATTCTCTGTCTCAGCCACATCCAGCCATCCCTGAAAAGGGACAACAGAAGAACATGGTCTCCTCGCTCAACTTCCATAGGTTGTTATTGCTTTATCTTGCTATTTCTCAGTTATTAATACAGTTATTATCATTAACACAGTTATTATTGTTATTATCATCATTATTGTCATCGTTATTTCATTAGTCCTGGAACCGACCAGACTTGAATGACCGGAGTGTCCAACAGTGGCTCATGTCTGCACTCTTGTCTTATCACTTCACAGGTGTGCAGCAGGGGAGCCCAAACACTGGGAGCTCCTGAACAAATCTTCCCAACTTCATAAAACCGACGCAGAACTCTGCAGGGAGCTGGAGGAGAGCCACAGGAGGTGAGAAAGTGCCAGGAATTTTTTAGGGAGTTTTAAGCAGGTTGGATGGTTGGAGTGAAAACCTGAGGGGGCTAATTTCGCTCTTATCTTCGTCTCTTACTGAATAACAGCTTGAATTGGAGAGACAGGAGTACAAGAGCCTCCTCTGCAGAGTTCTGCAACTAGCTGGGGAGAAACAGGAGCTCCTCATGGAGAACAAAACTCTCAAGGGACAACTGGAGAGATGAGAAATTTTTAGAAGGGAATCCTGACATTCTTTCAAATTCATCCCTCCCTCCCTCCCTCATCTATCATGAGAGGGCTAATTTCTGCTTTTCTTAATTTACGGAATTCAAAAATGTTGAATGAAATGGCGGAGGAGCGAGTTCAGTTAAAAAAGGAAAATAAAGACCTTAAAATCAAGAACTGGAAGTTGAGCGAGGAGAAGGCAACCATCCTGCGAAATTTCAGGGAGAGGCTGAGGAGGTGAGAAACACGTAGACAGCAGCCCTGACTGAGGGAGGGAGAGGACCAGGATTCCTTGAAGCCGCTTAGAACTGACTTTCTAAACAAATGAGATCTCCTCCAGCCAATCCTGATCCAGGAGGAGGACTTGAGGAACTTGGAAAAGCTCCCGAGGAATCCCAAAATGGATTGAAACATCTATTGTACTACAAATATCCCTAATTTTGTAAAATAAAGTTCCAAAAGAAGGAGAAAACTTACGAATGTCTGGCTCCTGACACTTTTAGTCCTACATGTATAAAGCTAGGTCTACTTTGAGGAGCTCCTGAAGGAAAATTTCCAGCTTGTGGAAGACAACACAGAACTCTGGAGGGAACTGGAGGAGAAACAGAGGAGGTGAGAAATTTTCTGACAGCATCCTTGACTTTCATTGTTGGTCCAAATTTATCTCTAACCTTGTGATTTTTCTAGAGAGAAAGAACTGAGGAAGAACCTCTGCAGGTGACTGATGTACAGAGACCAGCTGGTACCACTTAATAGTACAGAGTCCAAAAGAAACACAAGGGCAGACATTAGAACAATGGAAGACAAGAGAGAAACTCTTGAAGACGTGAAACCTTTGATGCTGCCATATAAACCGGAGAAGGAATGGCTGAAAGCTTCTGGGGAGAATCTCAAAGCCAAGAAAGCCCCACAGAGGCTTCTTCTCAGCCATCCAGAGACTCCCTGGCAGGAAGACTCTTCTGGCATCCCTGGTCAACCTTCCAAAGGAAGGTCCTGGAGCCTCCAGAGGGGTTGGCTGGATGTATCCATAATTCTTCTCCAAGAAAAAGGAGCAAAAACACCTCATTGAAATGTGCAGAAATGGAGGGAAGTATCTGTTCAAGCCATTCAAGATTGACAGACGTCTATGGTGGAGATCCACACTCCATGCCTTGAGGTGATCTTCCTTCTGAGGGGATCCTTTGATGGAAAGTGAGGGATCTCCTCTTCCTTTTTCCTCCCATCGAGCACGGAAATGGCTTCTCCTCTTGCCTTTTTGGCTGCTGTTCCTCAGGCCTTTGAGGTCCCAATGGAGCTGGATAGGACTCTCCTTCCAGGTCACGTCAGACATCAGATTTGGCTCTGAATCATTCTCATCAACTCCCTGATAAAAATAAAGAAAAGCCCATTAAAATGCAAGAATGAGAGATCCGTCTATGTAAATGGTGTGTTTGTAGCATTGGGTTCCTGCACGGGGGAGAAGGTTGGACTAGATGACCATGAAGATGCCTTTCAAAGCTTACATTCTATGATTCTCTGAATGCCTGCAATACAGGTAGTCCTTGACTTATGACCATTCATTTAGCAAGGTTGAAAGTTATGAGAAAGCTGAGAAACGCAACTTAGAAGGCAGATCCTCACAGTGTCCCTGTTTAGGCCTGGAGACTGAACCATAGGAAGAACAGCTGCAGGTTTTGGGTCTGGCTAGTCTAAAGAAAAGAAGAATTAGGGGTGATATGATAGCGGTATTTCAATATCTGGGAGGCTGCCACAAAGAAGACGGGGTCAAATTATTCTCCAGAGCTCCAGAGGGCAGGACAAGAAACAACGGATGGAAACTGAACAAAGAGAGAAGCAGCCTGGAATTACGGAGAAACTTCCTAACAGGGAGGACAAGTGGCCCGTGGAACTGCTTGCCTCCAGAAGTTGTGGCTGCTTCATCCCTGGAGGTTTTTCAGAAGAAACTAGACAGCCACTTTTTCTGAGATCATTTACGTTCTCCTGCTTGAGCAGAAGGCTGGACTAGAAGACCTCCAAGGTCCCTTCCAGCTCCTATTCTATTCTATTCTATTCTATTCTATTCTATTCTATTCTATTCTATTCTATTCTATTCTATTCTATTCTATTCTATTCTATTCTATTCTATTCTATTCTATTCTATTCTAGAGGCGGAGGCCTCAGACACAGCCGGTCCCCCATTTTCTGGGCTGCTGTCTCATCAGCCCCCAGGAAGATCAAGACCGTTAAGACAGGACGACCCCTGAGAATTTTATGAGTTGGTACATTCCAACGGCTCTCTGACTACCCAGAATCCCCCTGTCCAAGTGGTTCAGACTGAAGCAGCAGCAAAAACCCTCAGCTAATAAAAAAGTAAACACCGTTGCCATGACTACATCTCCAGGCATCCACCTTGAGATTTTCAAAGAGAATAGAATAGAATAGAATAGAATAGAATAGAATAGAATAGAATAGAATAGAATAGAATAGAATAGAATAGAATAGAATAGAATAACAGAGTTGGAAGGAATAGAATGGAATAGAATAGAATAGAATAGAATAGAATAGAATAGAATAGAATAGAATAGAATAGAATAGAAAATGCAGAATAGAATAGAATAGAATAGAATAGAATAGAAAATGCAGAATAGAATAGAATAGAATAGAATAGAATAGAATAGAATAGAATAGAATAGAATAGAAAATATGGAATAGAATAGAATAGAATAGAAAGAATAGAATAGAATAGAATAGAATAGAATAGAATAGAATAGAATAGAATAGAATAGAATAGAATAGAATAGAATAGAATAGAATAGAATAGGAATAATAGAAAAGTAAATACAGAATAGGATAGGACAGGATAACTTTATTGTCACTTTAAATGTACACTAATCAGCATACATTAAAATGGAATTTCGTTGCATAGAGCTCTCAAAGGGCTGCCACCTCCAATATACACTACATAATCATGACGAAATAAATAAATAAATAAATAAATATTATGCATATATCCACATACACACCTATATTATCTGACACAGAGAAACATCACAGTCTCGTTCGGATGTGTACATGTACCTGGTGAGAAAAAGGCATCCTGAGTTTCCCAGGCGGAGGGCATCGGGAGTAAAGCCCCTACAGAATCGGGGAGTCCTGCTGGAAATCCTTGGAAACCCCCTCCCAGAGGGGAGCCAGAGTGGGTGGATGGGGTCTCCAACAATGCTTCGATATCGATATCTAATTTATATTGTAAGCCTCCCTGAGTCTCCGGAGAAGGGCAGCACATAAATCGAACAAATAAATATACAACCTCTTTGGCCACTTTGGTCATTAAGTGAGTCCGGCTTCTCCCGTTGACTTGGATTGTCAGAGGCTGGCTGGGAAAGTTGGCTGGGAAACCTCTGGACCAAAAAGACTTTGGAATCCGATCTTTCCCTAAATGATGGACCGGACCGGATCTCTCCTTCCCAGCTGCCCCGCCTGCCTCCAATGTCCCACCTCACCAAATAAATCTCCAAGGAAATTAAGTGAAGCGAGTCCGTTTTATGAGAGGAGTGGGCTAGAGGATCCAGGAGGGAAAGGGGGGAAGGAGGGGAGCGGGTGGACTGAGAGGGAGATGAGTGATCCACTTGATCCCTTTAACCTTGGAGAGAGAGATTGAAAGGTCCTCTCTTCGGTCATAATATTACAATATTAGCACTTAGCGGAACATTCTGTGGGCTCCGTTCTCCTGGGAGCCTTGGGGGGCCTCCCCTCCATCTTCCACCCCCCCCATTTCCTCTTTTCCTTCCAGACCTCTCGGGGTCTCTCTGTTAGCGTGTGTGAGGCTCCCTATGGAAAGGTCCACCGTTGCTGGAGGGGGCAGCCTGGCATCTGCCCACAGCTGGATCAGAGATGATGACATCACAGCACGTGTCATAAGACCTTGGCCGGCTGTCCTGCCTCATTCTCAACTGCTACCACTGCAGGGATGGCAGGCAATTTTTTTTATCGTTTCCAGAAAAAAGTACAACGACAAAATAAAGGTAGGATGCAAACAGTGGTGGGATTTAGAAAACTTAACAAACGGTTCTGTGCCCTAATGACCATTTTAAGTATAAAAAACATATCTTAAGTCTTATTTTGGGGGAATGTCTTACTTTAGAGCAGGTGGGGGGTGGGGCCTGTGGATAATGAGAAGGAAGGAAGGAAGGAAGGAAGGAAGGAAGGAAGGAAGGAGGGAGGGAGGGAGGGAGGGAGGGAGGGAGGGAGGGAGGAAGGAAGGAAAGAAAGAAAGAAAGAAAGAAAGAAAGAAAGAAAGAAAGAAAGAAAGAAAGAAAGAGGGAGGGAGGGAGTGTCAGATGTAAATGCCTTATTCCCTAATGTGTAAATAATGTATATATGGGATATCAGGGGTTAACTTATTCTTTGACTCTTAATGTATTCATAATTCACCACTCCCACTCTTGGCTCCACCCTTTGTATATATAAGGAGCCACCTTCACCATTTTCTTTGCTTCTATCTGTGAATATTCAGTGAATATAGAATGCCTATTATAATTAAAGAGAAATATATTTAAACCTCTAACTCTTATTATTATTATTGAGTCTGATCCTGAAAATATTGCAACAAGCTGGAAGCAGAGGATGGTTAATTGACTCAATAAATACCTAAAAATGTCTAAGAAAGATAGGCCCAACACCAGGGCCTACAGCAAAGAAATAGAAACTGAACAAGAAATAATCAACGAATCCACAAACGCGATTTCGAGAGAATCTGAAGAATACACCACTGAAGAAGAAGAATTAATAAATGAAAATGATAGCCAGGAGGAAATCGAAATAGAAAATAACGAACTCAGGTCAGAGATATTGAAGTTATTAAAAAGCCAGAAGAATGATGAAAGCCTCATCGCGAACCTCCAAGAAATGCTGAAGAACAGCGGAGCAGCGAGAGAGAAAAACATCGCTAAAGAGAAAACCAAAGACCAAAAAACTGTGAGTGATATGACTACAGAGAAAGTCGTTATGAAAAAGAAAAAATGTGATCCCGCGCGAAATTTTGAATGGCAGCCATCTTGGTTTCAACAAGCCTCCAAAGTGAGCGAAGCAGAGCCAATCAAAATGCTCAGTTCAAAATTTCTGGCGCGAAAAACGTTATCAGACAACGAAAGTGAAAAGGAGGATTCAAAATCTTCGGAAGAGCCAGAATCAGAAAGTGAAGACGACTTAACGAAATCCCAAGTAAAGTCAGCAATGAAGACGCTTTTTGCTGCATTTGGGCCAAAATTAAAAATTTCCAAAGCGCCAACGAAGAAGCAAGCGAACAAGCCGATACTTCAAGACCTGCACGCTCCCATCCTGACTTCGAGAGCGACGACGCCCGAGCCCAGAGAGCCATGTCGATTCCGCCCTACACCGCAGACCGAAGCAAGTGCCAACGCACCCAAAAGAAAGAGAAGAACAGTCGCCGCCATCAGAACTCCTAAGACCGAGCCAGAGACCGACTCGTCTGAAGAGGAGCGGAGCGAGCGAGCTACAATGGAGAGAACCTTCCACGACGACGCCAAAGAAGAAATGAACAACGCGCATGTGCGAAACTACGTAGACGATCCGGAAAGACTTGAACTGGCCAGAGAACCGCGCAGACTCGTTGCGAGCATCCCCATGCCGTTTTGCAATTTCCTACACTTGCGAGACCACGGACTACCTCAGGTTGTAAGTAATGGACAAAATAATGTGGGAAACTTACCCAGTGACTTCCCAAAACTTAGGGTTGATGGCATTAATTTGCAAGAATGGTATCAACAGCTCCAGGTTGTCTTTATGAAAGAAAATTTACTATTTTTTATCACTAGTCCTCCAAGAAGACCTTGGACTTTAAAAATAGATTGTTTACACCATAAGGCATTTTTCTTAATAATATCTAGCGTGTCTTCTGCAATGTATCATAGCATCAAACCAAATCTAACTGTTTCAGAAATAATTCAATGCATGTTTAATTTGTTTCACAGCGATAGTGTAGCTACCACCACAAGAATGTCTAAGGACTTCTTTTCTTCCAGAGTAAAACCAGGGGTTTCCATAAGTGAGCATTTAATATCTTTAAACAAAATAAGAGCTGAGCTGCATTTGAGGGGGGAAGTGATTTCAGATCAAACAATGAAAAGTGTTATTATCAACTCACTTGATTCATCATGGGATAGTTTTATGTCACACTTAGACACCATCAATCTAGGATATTTATCAATAGAAAGTCTGTCTAACAAATTGATAGCAGAAGACAATTCAAGAAAAAATCGTTATAGCAATCACACAGAACACAAATCTTTTAGGAAGGTAGCTTTCCAAGAAAAATATAATGAAACTTTTAAATGCCACAATTGTGGGTCCAGGGAACACAATAGAAGAGATTGTCCCAAAATTTCAAAGGAAAGACATAGGTCAGAATATAGGAATAAATACAATTATAGACAGTCTTCCACAGATAGACATAAATATAGAAGCCCACCAAATTACAGAGAAAGTAGAGGGGGCAGAGAAAATTCAAAAGAGAGAAAATCTGGTTCACTGAATGGACTAAATAAACAAGACAGCACTAAAACGCAACAAAATGAGAACAATAATTGGCTTATTGATTCTGGGGCAACTAATCACACCACTAATAACAAAAATATATTGTCTTCATTTACAGAAGATAAGTTTGTAATAAAGGTAGCTAATCAAGAAAAAGTTCAAGTATTAGGCAGAGGGAATGTGACCTTGCCTGGTCTAGGAAAAATAGAGGGGGTATTGTTAATACCAGAAATACCTCATAACATACTAAGTGCCATAAAACTAAGCAGAGATTCTGACATCAATATAGTTTTCTCAAAGGGAAAAGCAACTTTAGAGAAGAATAAAACAAATGTAGGCACTGTGATGATTAAAGGAGGCCTACCCTATCTAATAACAAAAGAAAGATGGTTACATAACATTGATTCAAATATGGAAGATTGTATTGAGGCAGATGATGAAAATATTAGTAACAGTGACAATGATGAATGTAAAATATCTCATGATCACACAGATACACACAATGAGAAGAAACCAAAAATAGGTAAACCAATTCATGACGAGTGTGCTCACATCTTACATAGGAAGTTAGGACATGCAAGTTTTCCTGTAGTACAAAAAATGACTGAACACGCAGAAGGTGTCAAAATAAAAAATTGTGAAAATTATTTGGAATGCTCAGTATGTAAATCTACTAAACTAAAAACTAGTCCCAGGCCAAAAAAATCCACCAGATCAACTAACAAAATTTTTGACTTAGTACACATGGACTTAGTTGGCCCATTAACTCCATCAATCACTTATAGAAAACGTTACTTCCTAACAATAGTAGACGATTACAGTCGCTATGGTTTTGTTTACACATTAAAACACAAGGATGAAACCTTTCAAAAATTTAAGGAATTTTACAAACGCATAGAAACACAACATAATATCAGAATAAAACAAATTATGACAGATAGGGGATGTGAATTCATGTCTAAAGAATTCTCCCAATGGTTAAAGGATAGAGGAATGCTACATTACACGTCTAGTCCATTTTCTGCGTTCCAGAACGGGATTGCAGAGAGAAAGAATTCCACATTACAAACCATGATTAGGTGCACATTAGAGGATGCTGGTTTAGGCAAACAATTTTGGTCAGAAGCCTTACATTATTCAAATTACACTCAAAATAGAACCTGGTCCAGTATTGTGAATAAGACACCATATGAGGTGATGTATAATAGGAAACCAAAATTAGCACACATGCACATATTTGGGGTCACTGCAGACGTACACATACCTAAACAGTTGAGAAGAAAGGGAGAAAACGTATCCAGAAGACTAAGATTTATGGGATATGAAACTGGCACCAAAGGGTACAGATTCATTGATAATAATAACAAATTTATAGTTTCCAGAACAGCTGTGTTCCATGAACAGGCCAACTGGTCTAAATTACATCTTAATGAAATATTTCCAAATAAATGCATAGATACAAAATCTCGTGAGGAAGGGACAATAGAAAATCAAAATATCAACAAAAATAAAAACAAAACCAAAACATGGACAAATAGTCAACACAAAATAAAGACAGACACATTAACAAAAAAGGAAGCAAGATATTTGCATGACTACCATAGCAAACCTGAAAGAGCTATTAGGAACAACAGAAATCAAATACCAAATAAATACAGAGATTACATAATGCATATGGATGGTGAACAAATAACACCTAATACATATGAGGAAGTATTAAAACTCCCTCGTGAAGAAAAAGAAAAATGGGAACTAGCTATGAAAAAAGAGATGGAAAGTTTGCAAGGATTAAATGTATTCACACCTGCGATTGCACCTAAAGATAAAACAATTATTGGTACCAGGTGGATTTATAAAATTAAGAACCTAGAAGGAGGCAATACCCTATACAAAGCTAGATTGGTTGCACAAGGTTATGCACAAAAATATCCGGAGGACTATACTGACACGTACTCCCCCACAGTAAGAACAGAGAGTGTTAAAACAGCTCTAGTAGTAGCATCCGCACTCAATCTTGATGTATTTCAATATGACATACAGACTGCGTATCTACACGCAAAACTAGATAAGGAAATATATGTAAGAGCACCTCACAGTCAATACACTAATAAAAATGAAATTTGGCTATTGAACAAGAGTTTATACGGATTAAAGCAATCTGGCAAAAGATGGTACGATTGCTTGGTAAAAGTACTTAAGACCATGGATTTCAACGCTACCACTGCTGATAACTGTTTCTTTGTCAAAAAGAGTGATGATTACATTGAATTTGTATTGATTTATGTAGATGATATTTTATATATAGGAAAACACAAAGAGAGAAGAGAAATCTTTGTAAACAAGCTAAATGAACATTTCTCGTTGAAATCTCTAGGTAAAGTAAACAAATACCTTGGTGTACAAATTAACAAAACTAGAAGGGGATTCAAACTTA